AAACGGCACAGCCCCAGCTGCAAAGATCGATGGAGGTAGGATAGAATAGCCTTTTAAGCCACTACGGCATTTCGATCACAGTTCTAACATTCTTTCAGAAAAACAAATGACGCCTCCAGCTTCTACCCACTGCGTCACCGACGAGACATCGGCTTCGCCACCTCCGCTCGGAGAACGGGAGACCGACCCGAACCCGAGACACGAATCTCACCCCAATTCCCCCGAACTCAAAACCGCATCCGACGCAGCAGCAAAGGCAGAGACCGACCCATCGGCAGATGTGGAAATGAGAGATTGATCTTCAAATCCTTTAAAATAGGATGTAGATTATAACTCAGAAAAACCCAACTGTCCATAATTCTAGAATCCCCCACTATATATAGGCCCAGGCCTCCAAACGAGAAACCAAAGATACGAATCCACTATGTCCCAGGTTTCAGGGTTGTTCTATCATATATCTATCCCATTGTACTTATTGTTATTTTGGTGTTTAGTACTTCACTTCTTGTTGATCGTGTTCTGGATGGCTTCTTCCTTTTGTTTTCACCCGCGTTTTATACTCTCGTTTACATACCTCTTTCCTTCTTAATTTTGTTTTATGCTTCATTTTTTTTTTTTTTTTTTTTTGACCGAAATTGGGGATTGAATGATGATCTGGCGCACTACGGGCTCGTTTTTGTTAAATTCTTTTGATTGTTTTATTATACCTGCATTTTGTCTCACTCTATCTGCATACCACCGTTTTTTCCTATTCGTACATTCGTTTCATTCGCGCTGCGCTCGTCAAGCGTGAAGATGTGAGCATTGAAGACCTACTTTCTTTCGTTTTTGCATAGGGGGTCGTTTTTTTTTCGGTTTTTTTTTTCTTTTTTTTTTTTTTTTGTGGGGGGCTTGGGTTACGTTTCAAGGTTCATAAAGGGTGTAATTATAGTATGCATGGTCTGAATATCGAAAGAAAAAAAGATTTAATTGTTGGCATAGTACAGACATGCTTAAATCATTTGCGGAATCCATTGATCTTGAACCAAACCCAGCCGGGGCTTGCATGGCAGTGGTAATGGCCAAGCCCCAATTGCATTAACAGTGATGAAGAAAACATGTGAATATTCACCTAATTGGATCAATGGAAGAGAACTCTAGTGGGGCCAATAAATTCTTAGGATAGGCTACACCAGTCCTTGTTGCCGTTGGACGTGGTGAGCGACGAAGGTAGGTCCAATAGGCAGCCCTAGCCACTTTGTATCTGGCTGGCTTCGGGGTTTATTTTGACACGGCTGTTTATAACCAGAGAGCTCGCCCTATATTTCTGCCTTACCGTCCAAGCCATGTTAAAGTCCAACCCAAGTACCTAGCACGCACAACCAAACCTCCGACATGTTTGCGTGCACATGTGATTTTCATTACATCTTTCCTCCAATCTTCTGCTTTGGTTTCTGTATCATGTATGGATTACGGGCAGCTCGTCGTTTTCAGACGTTTATACTTTATAGTCAATCGTACCATACATGTACACACATATATATCACTGCCCCCCACGTCTATCTCGATAGGTAGCAAGAATAAACACGCATTAATAGATAACGGCAATCCTCTGGAAGAATTGAAACACGGGTTGAAAATTCCATTGGTAGCACCGTCGACACCGATCTCGTCAGTGATCTTTTCGCTACCTGGGTTCACGATCACAGAGATTTGACATTCCTAGATATGTACTGCAGACGGGAAAAGAAAACCGGGGATTCTACTGAAACCGCTCAGGGGTATTTTTGGGCTATAGCTACAGATACCGAAAAAAATCGAACGAGTTTGCTACCGCATCTGGCAGGATGCCGTGAGACTGAGGTAATTGCGTACCGTGATATTCACACAGATAGTAGAATCGGCTCAATTCGGTATTCTTAAGAATGCTGGGTCACTACGGCACGAATAGTATTGCCGTTTCTCATACCGATAGCGGACCGGGGGCGCGTTACGTATACGGATGCCGATAGAAAGCAGATATTATGAAATCTTACAAAACGACTTCGACATCGTGAAGTCATTACTTTCGTCCAATGTCTCAACCGACAACTCAGCAGCTATGGGACTAACCCATCCGAGCTACCCAACCGTATTGAAAAATCTTGGAATTGCCTCTCTCAGGCTAAAGGTCACAACATATGATTAGCTAAATGTCTCTAGATTTGAAATCAATAAATATGGGAAGTGTTAACGCTTATAGGAAAGAATCCCGTTATATACTAGCTCTCTTTCAATGTCCTAAGATTTATTTTATTTTATTTTTGAGCCTCATCAATCATCACTCGCTTACAGGAGAACCGGTTAAGGATGGCCGCTTTGAGTGGGAATAATTGCGCGATACAGATAATTTGCATGGAGAGTTGGTATCCCTTGAAGAAGTACCTTCCTGAAGAAGGCTTCAAAGCTTCTCGAACCTGTTCTGGTTACCCGAGGAAGGATTCCTGGCTGTACGGACCTGATATTTTTCTTCCTCTGATGATGGTGCGCCCTAATTGATGCTTAGAGTAAGTGCACATGTACATGTATGTGCGCATTTCCACACGCCATTCCGGTGCTTATTACTGTGGGACGCTATTGAATTGTACATACTTATTCCTCAGGGTAAGGACCTGAAAATGCAGGTATCGGTGCACGGATTATTCGCTGAAAAATACGACCGTTTTGGTACATATAGTGAAGACTTGTTAAAATGGCGGTTTTTATGCCAGGATAATGTTATTGCCTAGCGCCTGTGCGCCGAGACCCATTCTTGTTTCTCATCCCGGGAAACGAGTAAATGCTACAATTTGTAGTAATTTAAGTGGTGCACTTGACACCTATTGCTTCTTCCGTTAGAAATTTAACCCAATTATGTAGATCAGTGCCAATAAGCCTGTGTACCTATATACTGGTTTCTCGGCCGCTCCGAAGCCTATGGTAACAGTATGTACGTTGCATTCGAACGCCGAGGTTGAAGGCTAATCTTTCAGGAATATTAATACAACTCTATACTATAACATAGGCCTCATTTGTGTCAAAAATGCCTGTTCCTGGGATTCCATTCGCCGGTTCTTGTATCGTAATCGGAATATGTATGCATCACAGAGCTAGTGGTAAGAAGCCAATCAGATCTTGACGGAGTAGGAATTGCTATGTAAAGGGTAAATATATTGAGAGACTTACATAAGTGGGGAATATACTGTGGGGTGATCTTTACTTCTTAGTACCGGAGATGTGTGAAAGCTCCAATGGACAGTAAGTAATAGTTTAGGTGTATACGTATACTAGGATCAACATGGTTCTAAGTAGAGTGACATGCACTCCCCGTTTCCACAAGAAATCCCGCGGATACTCGAGTGGGGAGCTGACGGCAAAGGCCGTTGTGGGGACGTTGCCAGTGCCAGTGCCAGGCTGCCAGGCTGCCAGGCTGCCATGCTGCCATACTGATGCCATGCTGCCGCACAGAGGCTATGGTACTCGGACTTCGACTCGGATTAAACAGGAGCCTATTGACATGATCAAACCTTGGAAATTGTACTACACTCAGATTTCTGCCAGCATTCACGAGGGCGAAATGTCGCACTCGTTTCAAAGGACAAAAAGGGGGCGTGAAAACAGAAAAGCACCGTACATACTCTAGGAGATTCACTCAACCGCGGCGCCGATTATGCCGAACCATTTCTCCGGTGGCCCGAGGTTTTTTTTTTATAGCTTGAGCTGAGCTCTGTAGAACAGCTCGAACCTATTAGGGTAGTAGATCTATAGGGAGGTCATCGTACAGCTGCATTGGCATTGGAAGGCACCTGTGCAGCTGTTGAACCTGAAAAACTCAAGAACGTTGAACATCAGCTTCTCCAGCGTCGATCGAATGGGAATATGTTTCAAGGGAAGTCCACGCGGAAGATGAGCCTACATACATCCATCCTAAACAAGCTCTCACTAGGGATTCCACGTGAGACCAAGCTTCCGACACGTGGGCTAATGACAGGTATCAGGCATAGACTCAACGCTAAGTATAAATGGAAATAGTCTAGAACTTGTAGCGGCGAGAAGTAGTTTTGCGAGCGGTGTGAAGAGTGAGAGATACCGCAAAACCTCGAGAAATTCGCTAGCTCTGTCCAGGGATTACCCCTCGAGTGATTGGTTGGATGGCATCGATCTACGTCAGATGTTTCCCATAGAAGTAATTTTGATCTCACGGAGCTAGCAAATTCTTCGAGTTTTTGCGGTAACTCTAGACATGCGCTTATGTGTACTGTACATGTACTTAATTCAGGTAATTAAGGGGATAGAGGTAGAGTCTGGGCGAGAATAGTGATTTATAACCCATGTGAAGTTGTTTTATGGGTATTGCAATTCATATGAACTGCCGTTTACCGGACATGTGTCATAGAAGATCACTCGGAATATCATTACACATTTCTCGGCCCACCGGTCCCAGAGTGTAAAGTCGGCAACCTCCGAGCATGGTGGATCACCCGCGAGGTCCATCTTTGTTCGGCGAACGTCTCACAATTTATTGGCAGGGTTACCATCTTATTACATCCCGATGGACACCCCACCAATAACAGGTTCCGGAAGTGCGCACGTTTAGCCACTTGAAGGAAACTAGCCATTCATAGATAGACATTAAGGTATTGGATGTTAAGAAGTTGATTCGTGACACGTCCTCAAGGTTAGTTGCCCTTTAAAGCTTTTGTTTACAATATACAGTCACAAAGTTCTTCACCATTTCAATGGCCAGCACCGAACGCGTCTCAAGCAGAATGTCATTCCAATTGGGTCAGCTCACAATCACACATTCCCTAGGTCTGATGCATGTACTCCTCCTACCCCTGTTTATATCGCCAGGAGCTCCTATCAGCTCCGACTGGTTTGCGCCCAACTCAACACAAGTAAACAACGTGACCTTCGCTGTGTCTGGCAATGGTACAAACGGGTTCATATACAACTCTTCTTATACATCTGACGAAGCATATGGAGTATATAATTATTGCAACATGCCGCATGTTCGGGCGAGGGAGTACCTGGTCCCGGATAGTCAGTACAGACTGGAATATATAGAGGTCATCCAAAGGCACCACAAGAGAACCCCGTACCAGAGTAATACATTTCCGGTGGAAGATATTGAGTGGAATTGTGGAGACACAAGACAGTTTTATTATGGCGAGCCTATGGATGGATTTGAGGCCTCGAAGGTTTATGTGGGTCACAGCTAGCCGGTTTTAATAGTTGAAGGGTTTTTTGCTGACTTGAAGTCTACTAGTGGGATAACTACGAGGACTCTTTAAACCCCCTACGGAAACGGGGCTATCAGGGTACATGCCAATTCCCACAAATCACCAAAGACGGTCTCGATGACTCGTATACTCACGGAAAGGACCTCCACGACGTCTATCATAAACTACTCAAATTCCTTCCTGCAAAATATGATGAAACAACAGTCTTCCGAGCGACCAGTAATGTGATCACGTCACAGGTTGCAGGAGCTTTAATCAAGGGAATGTTCGGCTCGTCTGATAAAGTTCCTGTGCTTCAGCAATATGACACCATAGACTCTCTTCGTCCTGGTTACTCTTGTCCGTACGCGGATAGTATCCATAGTGGCTATCAGGGAAGTAATATAAATTGGACTGAACACTTAAAGCTGAGTCAGTGGCTTTTCGATGGGCTTGATGCAGTATCAGGTGTTAATCCTAATGATAGTGAATGGCACTCGTAAGATCCACCTTTCCATATCAGATATTTATCTGCTATCTACTCACTGATATATGTACTTTCAAGTTGGTACGATCATTATTTCGACAATCTTTCCTCCCGTCTCTGCCACTCAAAACCGCTCCCATGCTCAGTCACTTCCCCGAGCAAATGCATAAGCCATGAAATGGCAGATAGCGTCTTTCGCATCGCCCAATATGAATACTCCTACATCTTCCGCGACACCCCCCGATCGCTCGAATATGCAAGAACCAAGTACGGTCTCTATCTCCACGAGCTTTCGGCCCGTCTGCAGCAGCACCTCGATGGTACCAAAGGCTCAAAGGTTAAATATAGACACAATATAGGTCATGACGGTTCTATATCGCTGCTACTGGGAGCATTACAGATTAGTGAGATGGTCTGGCCCGGAATGGGGTCTGAGGTTATATTCGAGCTCTATTCGAGCTCGATTCTAGATGCCGGTCTCAACAAGAAGTGGTACATGAGGGTGCTGTGGGGTGGGAAGGTCATGCACTCATCGGCGATGGGAGAGGTTAATATGATTCCCGTGGAAGAGTTTATGGGGTATCTACGTGATTTAGTAGGGGACAGTGGGGCTTATGTGCGCGAGAAGTGCGGGATTTAGGGGAGATTCAAAATTTTGTTGGATGGAGGGCCACAATACTAGTGGTGAGTAGTAAATGCTAAATTCATAATTACTTAATAATTGTGACATGGTGTGGAGGTAGATTGTCACAGAGTTCGAGACTTTCTTTAATTAGCAATAAATATTAGGCACAGAATATCCCGACACGTACGTACCTATAGCCTGATCATAAATGGTCGCTACCAAGTGTGGGGGCCCGCTTATCGCTCATGCATGCATGGGGACGTGCACCCAAAATCCAAAAATCTTCGGCAATATAACTCTAGATCACATATATCATACATTAAGCAACTTTGAGGGAAAAGGCTTGTGTAAAGTGGGAATCCGGTCGTCGTAAGATTTTATCATGTGATTACAAGAGCTTATTAGATTGGTTTGTATTGTAGAGTACTGGCAAAACACACACTTATCTTACTCCCATGCCTTATCGTAATTGATTTTAGGTCCAATATGCTTTTTTTTTTTCAACTGACGTGACCGTGTACACGAGTACATGCAATCTCTATACCGAGGACTTTAGGGATAGTCCGTGGAGTAGCTTACATGTAGTGTTTGGTGAAACTTAACTGTGGCTGATATTGATCACATATAGTCTTCATGTATTCGGCCTGTTGGCATATGTAAACGCTTTTGAAAAAGATGGTACTACCTGACTTGGTGCAACCTATATTTGGTGGAATGAGGGTGATATGGTAGTAAAAGGAATATGCATTTTAGAGGGTAAAGAGGATGTCTAAAAGGAGGGGGATTATAGTATCTGGCATTAGAATAGATCTACACGCAGGTTAATATAGATATGTATGTAGTATATAATGGTATCTAGATCTATTCTTGAGGGCTCGGACACCAATATTTACTGGTCTGATATCTAGACCGTGACTTGTAAATCCAATAATAAAAGAATTGTGAGAAAGTTGTTATTTCAAGGTTTTCTACGTGTGACCCGTGTGATATATCATCGGTAATCTTAGCATTAACTTCATTGACGGACGTACCCGGATTAAGTTTCTAAACCGTCTTCACATGTCGAAGTCACAAATATCAATATTTGATCCCTCAATACATACAGTGTTTTGCAGAGCTGTCGATCAGTGTGCAGGTACTCATTGATGCATCATGATCTCATAGGAACAATATATTCTGTTGATCCTACAGGCATAATTTTAGAGAAAAACTTGTTCGTCGATGAGCTGCCCTTGCCAGCCATGCATGGCTTTGAAATGAACCCGGGGAAGTTCGCGGATGGGATTTCCCAGCCGTTGGTTTTCGTGACTGAGAGGATTCGTCATTGGGCTAGTACACACATTGAACATAAGCCTCTAATATCGCCAAAGGATAGTCAAATTTTATCTAATAGAATGATGAAAAGTATACGTATACGTCACTACGCGAAACCTTTCACTATAAACACGTGCACCCAATCACCATTTCCCCTAGCAATTATCAAAAAAGCCAGTTCCAACAATATCAAGAAGAGAATTTTCAAGCCTAGGAACTCACTGCTCAGATCGCGTATTTCTCAGTTGCAGAGAAACTGCCTTGTGCAGTAATATATGTGTGGACAATAACACAGGTAAAGGTCTTAATAGATATAGATCGACTGTACGTATCATGTACGAAGCTAGCGTTATATATAACTCAAGTACTGGAAATAGATTTATATATAATCAATCAAGGCCTAGGAATAAATATAGTGTGAATTTTCAAAAGTCCCTAGACTGTGTAAAAGGCAAAAGGAAATGGTGTTTATACTATATATTAATTAATTACGTTATACATTTAATGTCAAACTCAATGCATTGATAAGCCCTGGTACCTAAATTTAAAGGCCACTGGATATTTGCTAACGGACAAAATTAAAACAGTCTAAAATAAGATAAGGTTGATCCTAGCTGCTGAATTACGTGCATGTCTATAATCAAGATGGTTGACTACTTATATGTACTCAAAGTCATTGGGTCAGGAATTCGTGGGACAGAAGCCCTATGGTCATGAGTATCAGATCGTATTAAGAGTTCTTATCAATTTCTGTTTATAGATCGAATCGAGATTCCAACTATTCTACAGTGCCTCAGGTACGGACCGACCATCTAATAGGGGAGTGTTTAGATGTGTTCGCAGAAGATGGCACACAAAATATATAGAAGGCGAGGCCCCGTCTTGAGTTTATTCTGTCTCCTGAGTTAATATTACTTGGATTCGACGTCAGCATCAAGTTTAGTTGATATATCGAGGTATTTTACAACTTTCAACTAAAGATCGTGATCGTATTACCCGATCATGATCATTAGAAATATTTGATTCCAGTCCGTATAATGTGAGAACGTTCTTAATTTGTAGACATCAAATGTCCTTAGCAAAGTTACCTCCGGGTTGCATACAATTAATGAAGTAATCAATCAATCAATCAATCAATCCTTGGCGAAGAGTGATAAATAACGAGTGATAATTCATGACCTAACATTTCCTGATTGATTGATTGACAATTCATTTAATTTAAACTTTTTTCTAGTTTATTGAACGAGACAATTTACTTATTCATATCTATAAGAATCATGGTTTAACCTGAAAAGCGACCAACTCAATAAAGCTAACCGTCAACATTGTGATGTGGTCTATGTATATGGGGCGGTAAATGTGTCAAAAGTAATTTTACCAACGGTAGTAAATTATTTTACCACCAGTGGTGAAAATGATACCAGTATTTATACCCTATAATGCTAATTTTCATGATAAAAGCACAGACCTTTTGGCCAAAAGGGGCCATATAATGCCAATATATATGAAAATTGTCCACTGGTGGGGAATCTCACCATCGGTGGCGGTATTTCACCACCGGTGGGAAATTTTCATAAGTTTTGGCATTAATGATTGAACATTTACTTATTTAGTATAGCGCAGCATAAAGACCGAAACTCAGTGTTTATACCGGTGGAAATGTACTAATGTAGGATAGCGTGCAGATACAATGACTGGAATTCAGTGCTTATACCACCGGTGGTAAATAATTTACTACCGTTGGTAAAATTACTTTTGACACATTTACCGCTCCATATATGTAGACTGACTGTTGCTCATCTAGATTATCGACGCTGACTATAAGAGAACCTAACGGGGGGAAATTGTTAATGGAGGTTTATGGTCATGGAGTAGTTGATGGTGGGAACAACATCGTTAATAGCTAGCTATCTACATGGCGTTCGTACCAAACCAAGTAAATGCTGGCGGCGGAATGAAACTCTCGGGTGCTGCCACTCAAATGAACAAATAAGAGTCCAGCAACTAAAAAAAATGCATAAAATGTTTTTTATCACATCGACTGGTGAAAGAAAATTGCGCCCCGAGGTTAGAACTGGAAGTAGCAAAATGCCTAACCCGTCGAATCATTTATCTTTTAAACCACTTAATGCTGATCTTTTCGATGGGGACCAAAAGCTACTGTATTTGGGCAATTACCATATTTCTTTCACCATATAGCTCTATAGATCTATACAGATCATCTAGCCATCCTGACTTTTGTCCCCACGAAAAAAAGACCTGAATTGTCTTAATAATTCATGGGATACATAAATGTTAAGATATGAATTACTGATTATCTTTCCTTGTTTCTACACTTTCTTTCTCCTTTAGCCTTCACAAAAAGCTGTTATATGCAGGGCCCCTCTTCTTTCCGTACTCTTTATTTTTACGGGGAAATAATTTCCCCAGCCGTTAAAGTACATACCTGTAGTTGCTTATAAGAAACATTTTACCGTCTATTGGTTAGTTTGCCATTATTGAGATATAATCATTGACCTTGGTAATAGAACCTGATGAATATTAATAAAAAAACATATGAAAATGAGTCTAGAACCTAAATCCCACCAACACGAGGAGCCGGCATGAGAGTATATTGCAGTATATAAATACTGCTTTGCGAATACCACCATATCCGCTCTATTTTTGTCTTGTATCCGTCAATAGGGCTGGGTAGTGTATTGCGTACAATAACCAAAGTTTCGGTTCTGGAACACACATACATCTCCAAAAACCTTTTAACGAGCCACGATGAAAACGAAATCCGCAAAAGCCGGTTATTTCGGCGGAACCATAGATCCTATATTGCATAAATCGAAACTTTATGCAACCCCAAGGCCTAGATCCGCCTCAATTGGTGTACCGTAAATTACCGCTTAGAATTTAGCTGTACATACACAACTAGCCCTATTTAGATAGGTACTCTACAAAAGGGACAGTTGCAGAAATATACAGGATCGATAAATTCGGCAGAACGGCAGCAATTGCGCGATACAACTGTCCTTGATACCTCATACAGGGACCGGAACTACCAGAAAACATAACAGTGCCATATTAGCCCAGAATAACGCTTGGATATGCCGGCCTATGGATGTACTAAGCTAGGTAGCTTAGTGCGTGACGTAGTGACAGTAGTGAGGCCGCCCGACCAGACCGCAGGTTGTTTATTTCTGGATTGCTAGTAAAAAAGTGAGGGAGGCGGCTTCCTATTGTACTGTAGAGGCCCCTACACTTTGCGTGATCATTATAATAAGGTTTGTAGATTACATATGGATAACTGAGCTGAAAGTGCACTTTGACACATGCAACTATCCAGCCGGCCGGACGTCCGGACAATCCGTTGATGCCGCCATGTCTGCATACCCGAAGGGGTACGAAATTAAGATTTTATGGCACCCGATTTCGGAACTTGACGTGCTAGCTTCGATTCGAGAACCTGCCTTGTTTAGGGCTGGGAAATACTTGACCTAAGGTGACATCGTATGACCCAAGCATCTCTTTCCCGGAGAGAGGGATGGCCCCTTTTGCTTCTCTGTGATGATTGGAACCTAGCCTACCGCAAATACTTGATAAATTCGCTAGCGTTATTGCCCTTTATCACACCAAAAAAACAGCACTTTGGGTACTTTTTGGTGCAAACGGCGCTAGCGAATTTATCGAGTATTTGCGGTACCTATTAGGATTCGGAGTTCGATACTCAAAGCTGTCGACATTTCTGCACCCCGCTTCGCGCGGCGGGCTGCAGCCATATCACGGTTAGCAACATGCTGGTTGCAACTCATTCCACTCTAGTGAGGTCTCAATAGTTGTCATTTTGAGCCATTTTCTGTGTCGCGATCCATTGTCTGGAGTTGAAGACACTTTAAGCATAAAATATAGTAATAAGTGTTCCGACTTCTTGAATCCTAATGTGATGATGCATGATGGTATCAATAAAGCACTGTACGTACGCATGAAACCATCACATCGGAACCCGTGATACTGGCGTATAAATGCACAGTTCAATGGCTGGCGGTGAAGGTGTTCAACTGGAATTTCTAATGTTACACCAGCGCATAAATTGTCTAAACAAAGTACCGAAATGTTTGCCGCGCATGATTTGGATTAAGATATCGCTTCCAATAGTTGACGGAGCAATTGCTCCGTAGTTGAAAACCGCGCGGACATAGAGTACATGGAGCGTATGGGTAGTTAGGTGGAAGGAGGCTGCGCACTCATTCCTGCGGCTGTAGAATTGAAGTTTGATGGATTTATTGGAAGTGGTAGAGCCAAAGCTGAATGGAATCTACCTATTAATAAATGAGTATTTCGCCATCGGATAGAGCCACGTGAATTTAAGCATATTGATTGCATGTAGGGATGATACGGGATAGGTTAAGGCAAGGCAATCATTCGATCAGGGTGAAGCTTTGCCACCTTGTGCAACTCATCCTCGTGGGAAATACACGTCTGTTGTCATCTTTGATATCCTTATCGTGCCTTTGATGGAACATTGGTTTACTGTGGGTAAACATTGTTATGAGTACGCACATACATCTAGATTGGGGGATCCAGGTCAATGTTCCAACCAGAATCATCCTAGTGAAGCGGCCTCAGTGCCATCCCAGGTCCAGTCGGGCCAAAACGCATTGAGACCCTTCCTTTGTTTCTGTCTAGAGTATCAGATCACATCACTGAGGTCTTAGACACTCGACCCCGCTACAAACATTGATATTATTACCTACATGTAGTATTGATAGTGGCGATGTCATTGGTAGTGACATGGTTGCTATGCTTTTGAACGCGGGCACCTGCCGCGCAGTAGGTACTGCAATCAAATTCAGAAAGCTCTTCAACAGTTCAATATCAGTAGGGCGCGGGCTTCCACCCGCGCTCGCTAATTTGATTGAGATGCCTTTCCAAATATTGTCACGGCTAGACTTGCAGCTAGAAGTTAGCAAAGGGAAAACGTGACGAGAAAATTTCAAATCCCACTGAGAAGAGAAGCTTCAGATCAACCCAACTAGAGTACTAACCGGTCACCTGCGCCCCGAACTCCATACCTAGGGTTTTAAGGACTGGTGCGATCGCTTAAGGAAGTTATGACCAACTAAGATCGACCAAGAAAAAAGGGACGGAACTCTCCGTCGCACAAGATCTTTAACATGCCCTCTAGACCATGTTGGGCAGGGATCTTGAAGATCTCTAATAAGCTGCATGGACAGCACGATGCTGTGGAGATACGTTTTTTGCGAAGATGTATGTAGTCGCCACTGAGGCTGTGACAGTGACCCCTTCAAACAACTTTGGAACTGCTCTTCTTTTTGTCAATAGGTGATAGAGCAGATGATGGGTGGTGGTGGTGGCGTTTAGATAAATGTTTTCTTTTTGTGTGTTTGAAGGTTGGCTCCTGTACCTACAACGGCGTAGAGATACATCCTATCCTGGTGATATCACTCGTTTTCTGTGTGGCCATGCATGCACTTCCAAGTCTTCTGCTTTTCGTGAGGAGTATGTATGAAGTTACCACACACAAACCTAAGTTGTCAACCAAGGAAGGGTAGATTGGAACAAGAAAATTGCGTACCGCTTGAGGGCCTCAACTCTTGGACCAGATTGGTGTGGACCAGATTGGTGTTAGAGCACAAGTCTTTATCTGTTTTGAACATAACTCTGGAAATTCCTCATCTGACACGCTACTATGATTGGATATGCGGAATATATTTTCAGTGGATCCAACGCAGGGATGGTCAATGCGGAAGAGCGGCCATCAAAAGACTTGCTTGGGTAGAGCCATGTCGATGTGGAAAGGAGGTATATTACCAAACGCCCCAAACGATCAATATGATTCCACTCTTCCGTAGTTGTCCCTTCATCAATTCAATTACTTGCCTTGCTTGGTTTGAGTCTAAAGAAGGGGGTTAAAAAAATTCCAGGTTCCTGGATGGAGTGAGTGACTGCTCAGTTCTTGGTATTTTGATAGGATTCAGTGATCTCTTTCTCTTCCTTTTCATCCCTCCTCCTCACCCACACTCACTCATCTCAAGCGCGCACTTCGCTCTCACTGACTGTGTAGCATCCACTCCTTTACCTTTTCGCTCACTCGTTCATTGATTTACCACCCTACCCCACCCCACCACCAAACCAACCTCCTCTTGTTCCTCCTCCTCCACCTCACCCCTCCAGGCCCTTGAACCCTGGCCTTACCTACCAGTCGTCACCACGCGTCTCGTTGTCACATCCAGCTGTATCGCCGCGTTGTTGCGCATCATCCATCATCATCTGGATCTCTTCCAGTCAGGGCTGTGCCTATCTTCCACTTAGCCTCCCTTGCAGAGTGACCCTTTTTTTGCCTGATTCGTTACCACAACCCGACTTCTCGGTTACTAGCGAAAGAGACAACCCCCCTGCTAGCTACAATAATCTAAGTAAATAAATAAACCTGTCGTCACCCAAGGGGTCTACTTTTTCTGCCTAGAGACCCAACTTTTCCAAATCGAATCAAACAGGTTATCGGACACTCCTGTGTGTTGATCACCCTACAACCGGTACCTGGTTTCAGTTTTGAAGGTGTGTATATCTTTGGACCCCTTCCCACATCGCTCGCAAAGGCCTGCCCCCACTGATCAATCCGACATCACAGATTCGTGTTTAGAAAAAAACACCCCCTATCGTCAAGATGGTCGACGAAAATGACGACCCGAATATTGCCTCTGCGCGTGGTGTTTCCACAGCAGCCTTCTTGTCAACTCTGGTAGTCAATTTAGTAATTTTCGCTGTCTTAACGACAATTTTTACGGTCTTACGTCGTTACAATAGGCGGATCTATGCGCCTAGGACCTATATCAGTACTATAGAGCCTTGGAGAAGGCTCAAAACTACTGATGATGATGGCGATGGCTTCGTCGATGAGGTGGAGCATGTCAAGGGCTTTGCCGGTTTGTTGGGCTGGATACTGAGCGCTTGGAAAATTAAGTCGGTTCTCAGTGCTTGCGAATCAATGCGGGTTCCCGCGCAGATCTGATCTGATGTACTGACGATCATTATAGGGACGAAACTGTTCTCCGTACTAATGGCCTTGATGGTTACTTCTTCCTACGTTATCTGAAAAAGGCGCAGACAATTTGCTTTGTCGGTTGTTGTTTGACGTTTCCCATTCTTTTGCCCTTGAACGGAACTGGAGGTGGTGGACAGACCGGATTGGATATTTTATCTTTCAGCAATATTAATACCAAAGACGCTGGTATCCGCAATCGGTAAGAGCTTATCAATTGGGCCTCGCGTTGAAGGCAGCCGCTAATTGGACCGCAGTCTTTACGCCCATGTGTTTGTTGGATACATCTTCTTCGGTTTCGTTCTATTCACTGTTTACCGTGAATTGGTCTTCTATACTACTCTGCGCCAGGCGTACATGCTCTCGCCTCAATACGCAACCCGTATCTCTGCTAGAACTGTACTCATAACCACAATTCCCAAGAAGTATCTTACTGAGACCGCCTTGAAGCGCGTCTTTGACAATGTCAAGCGTATCTGGATCAATACCGACACCAAAGAGCTCGAGGATTTGGTCGAGGAGCGTGATAAGACCATCCTCAAACTTGAGGCGGCTGAAGTCAAATTGATCAGGCTTGCAGATGCTGCTAGACGACGAGGCGCACTTGGACACGACTCTCCACAGGAAGAAGGTGAAGTTGAGGGCGAGAGCGGTAGCATTGCTGCGAGATGGCTGGACAGGAAGGACAGGCCTAGCCATAGGTTGACGCCTTTGTTCGGAGAGAAGGTAATTCCGGAGACTGATTAATCCTTGAAATATAATTGCTTACTCGTGTGCTTTAGGTCGATACCATTGACTGGTGTCGTGGTCGTCTCGCCGAATTGAACCCTAAAATTGAGGAATTACAGGCAGTACAAAAGAATGGTGATGGCAAGAAGATGAACTCTGCCTTCATTGAGTTTACTTCTCAATCGGCTGCTCAGATCGCTCTCCAGACCCTTGCACACAACAAGCCCCTCCACATGGCGCCCCGCTACATCGGAGTCACCCCTGAAGAAGTTATCTGGACTAACCTCCGTCTCCAATGGTGGGAGCGCTTGGTAAAGGGCGCTGCTGTTACCGCTGCGGTCTCTGCTCTCGTTCTCTTCTGGTCCATCCCTGTTGCCTTTGTGGGTCTTATTTCCAACGTTACCTATTTGGCCGATACAGTCCCATTCCTGGCCTGGCTCACCGACCTTCCTAAGCCAGTCCTGGGTCTCATCACTGGTCTTCTCCCCGTTGTGCTCTTGGCCGTATTGATGGCTCTCTTGCCCATCGTTCTTAGAATCCTTGCAAAAATCTCTGGGGAGCCCTCAGTCTCGTTCATCGAGCTTAAAGTGCAGAACATGTACTTTGCTTTCCAGGTCATCCAGGTCTTCCTTGTCACCACGTTGACATCCGGAGCCTCCTCCGCTGCTAGTTCTATTTACAAAAACCCGATGTCGGCCACAGACCTTCTTGCCTCTAATCTTCCCAAGGCTTCCAACTTTTATATCTCATTCATGATTCTCCAGGGTCTTGCCATATCTTCGGGTGCTCTGCTCCAGATTGCTGGTTTGGTCTTGTACAAAGTTCTTGGTATGCTCCTCGACGGCACCCCGCGCAAGCAATGGAACCGTTGGTCTTCTCTGTCGGGTCTTGGATGGGGCACTGTTTTCCCTATTTACACCAATATCGCTGTCATTGCCATCACATATTCCATGATTGCGCCCCTCGTCCTTGGGTTCGCCGTGGTTGGTCTTGGTCTTCTACACTACGCATACAGGTACAACTTGCTCTTTGTGTACAATGTCAACATTGACACCAAGGGTCTCGTGTATCCACGTGCGCTGTACCAGACCCTCACCGGTGTCTATCTAGCGCAGATTTGCTTGATTGGTCTCTTTGGTGTTAGCGAATCCCCCGGTCCTGCAGTCCTCCAGGTAGCCTTCCTCATTTTCACAATTCTCTTCCAGCTGTCTCTTTCATCAGCCATGGAGCCTCTCCTCCGCTTCCTCCCTAAGAACCTCGAACGTGAGGAAGAGTCTCTCCTTTCAATTGAGAACGGCGATCATATCGGAGTCGAAGAGGATGTGACTCCGGTTGCATCTGAGGCGGATGGCGATAAGATTATTCACCGTCCTCTTGGGGGTGTTGCGCCAGCTGAAAGCGGTGGCATGATTACCAGATTCCTTCACCCCGAGACATACGAGAACTACGCTGTAATGCGCAAGCTCATCCCTCGAGGCTTCCCCGAGGCTTCGTACACCGCCAATGCGGAGCAGGAGGCATACATGAACCCTGCTATTGTGGCAAGGCCACAAGCCATTTGGATCCCCAGAGACGAGGGTGGTGTTTCACGGCAGGAGGCGGCACACACAGGAAGTGTTGTCGATATCTCTGACGAAGGTGCGATTGTTAATGAGAAGAGCAAGGTCGTATGGATCGAGGGAGAGATGCCGCCAGGCTGGCACCCAGGACCGGTCTATTAATCGGGCTGGTTCTGTTTTTTCCTATTTTTCACCTTTTTTCGTTGTACCAAGCGTCTGCTTTTTTTTTTTTACCTTCCTAATTTGGGCCTGTTGTTTCTTCCTTAATACCCAGCTACGTATACTCTATCGTTTATCTTTTCCTTATCAATGTATCTGGCATGTTGGCAATGCTGTCTTGCCAGCCAACAACCCATTATCAAAAAACAAAACAATAAGCTATGCAGGCTGCGTATCTGTAACACTGAAAACATAGCAGCGCGTAAAGAGGAAAGGGACTGGGGGGGGGGGGGGGCGATGAGGAAGTATCACTATCAGCAAACAGCGGAGGTGGCTTCCTGTAGGAGTTATTATTTTCATGCTTAGTATATAATCATAGCTTGCCAATAGCTTGATACCATCACTTGTTTTATGTATTATCTGTGGCTAGTCAGATGGTTGATGGTGTGGTGGCGGTGTTGGGGGCGGGGTGTGAATAGTAATGATTGATGAAGAGCTTTCTGGTGTCGAGTGAGATTTGGTGTTGCGTTGGTCCGCCCGGGGGTTTCAATGGTAGTGGTTCTCTCGTTCGAAGTGAAAGCTGGCCTTGGCTGTAATGGGGGGGGGGGGGGGGGGGCTGTTGAGAGACTGTACTCGACGGGCTGGATATCGTTCGGTGATGGTGGGCGTGTTGAGTATACTCACAATGCCTAGCTGCGTGCTAGACAAAACGTTAAAGCTCGCCTTAGTGGCAGGTGGGAGACGTGGCTATTGTTGTGGAAGAGGGGAATTCCTCTTGGATAGAGCTCTTGAATTTCATGATAGCGACAATTAAACGCCCAAGTCCTAGTGTCCAGCTAAAGATATTTTTACAATATCCTTATAATTACTGCATGCTTTCTCAATCACCACCACCTAGAAACCTACACCAATATCCAAACCCCCGGCCCCATCTGCCTCCAGTGTCCCATAGCAATGCATTTTCTCTAACCACATACTAAATTTTCTCTATCTGATCACTAGATTTCTCTTCTTGTGACTGTGACTTGTAACATTTTCTAAAATGTAGACTTGCAATTGCCGCATGTACAAGCTGCATAGCCAGATAGATAGATGGATACATTATCGTACTATACTACCATGAGCTTGCAAACAAGCAGGGGATGCGATTGAGCCTGCTTGTTGGATAGTAGTATACGGTTGATTGATTGACATATACGTAGGGCGGGTGTTGGTTGAGTCGTCGGATGTCGGTGCGGTGGGAAAATACGGAACTTGATGAATGTCTGAACTTGATATTGTGATTGTCCTGACATATACTCAATATTAATAAATATATAGCTGTATATATATATATATAAACGCGGGTCTGAGAAAACTTGACTTCTGGGTCGGCGAAGGCCAGGACGCAACGCAACAACCAGCAGAAAGGAAATTTAACAAACATCAATTTCTGCACAACCACCAGATATGGGAAACGAGTGGGAATATGTAGATAGACTATATCAAGGGTCAAAATTCTCATGGTGCTGTAAGAATAAAAGATTTAGGAGTATTCGCTTAGTCTTTATCTAGTATCTTAAAACAGTAGGTTTCAACCAACTTGATATGGAGCCTCCTACTGGCTAAAGGAACTTCTGAAAAATATAATATACACCCTTTAGAACATGCTCTATCAGCAGGGGAAGCTTTTGGGTGGATTGATTTGGTGGTTTGGGTTTGTTAGGTTTGAACCCATAAGTCAAGTTTTCTCAGACCCGCGTTCAAATATAAGTACATGTACACTAGGGGTGTGCCAACTCGCGACCGCGAGTTGTATGTTGGATTATGGGTATCAAATAAAATTTAATTCTCCCGCTACAATCATGAGGGGCCTTCTAGCCTCGGTCCCAGGCTCAGGTGGTGTGATTTATTTCGTGTGGCTGATAATGCCCGCTAGTCCTATTTTGACATCAAATTTCTATCACCACTTCTGAGCCTGGTGAATTTGCTGCCATGCCTACACCGTATATTTTTTACCCCCCAAAACCTCCTCCAAAATGACTGGATCGCGCTGAATATACAGCGCAGCCAAATCCCCGCTGTACCCAGCTCGCTGCGCACCCAAATCACCCAATTTGTCGTGCGAGCAATACCTCGCGCACTGCGCGAGCCACCACCCGCGCAGCGCAGGCAACCCATCCGCGCAGCGCAGGCAACCCATCCGCGCAGCGCAGGCAACCCATCCGCGCAGCGCAAGCAACCATCCGCGCAGCCAAATCCCCACTGCACCCAGCTCGCTGCGCACCCAAATCACCACTGCACCCAGCTCGCTGCGCACCCAAATCACCGAGTAAGTCGCCTAGGTGGCCTACATATATGCCAGCCCGACGTTCAGTACGGAGGGCCGCCTCCGGGCGCCCATTCATTCCTTCGCACTATCCTATATCCGCCAGCTCAACCACTCAACAGTCACCTATGCACAGTAATTATACCTCGCCGCCTCCGCCTCCTACCCTAGCTCAACGCTTATCTGCTGCGCGGAATATGGTGCGACAGTATGGTTTCGATGATATCCCCAATTGCCTATTAGCAGAACTTCAGTGTACAGATCCATCCGTGCTCGCGCGTTCCAAAGCTTACTTGCAGCGCGGTAGCATGGGCAAGCTTTTATGTGCTGCGCTCGTACACTCTTCTAATTCCATCAAAACCCTCGCAAAGGATATTGATTTGCGTAATGCATGTGTGGATATCGTCGAGAACCTTGTGCACAGCGAAATGAGCGCCCTTATAGCTGCACCGCACATGCGCAAAAAGATGAATCAATTTACCCATGAATACATCAGCGGATTTTCACTCTCTGATATTGCAGTAGCGCAAAACAGCTTCGCCCCCACAGTCAAAAGGCTCGTTGATGCAATGATAGCGCCTAGCGCTTAAGACCCCGCGCGCACTCAAGACCCCGCGCGCGCTCAACACCCTCCCCGCGCTCAAGACCCCGCGCACGCTCAAGACCCCGCGCACGCTCAAGACCCCACGCACGCTCAAGACCCCGCCTCCCCGCTGGGCAATCATTATCAACCCCACCAAGAAGACTCAGAAGATCTCCCTTCATTCATAGAGCTGGGAGTCGGTACGACTAGTACGCAGAAACCTGCGCCCACCAAGCGTTATGATATTGTCTCTACAGTTGCCATCAGCATTGCAGCTTATGGGCGCTCACAACGCGCCAATTCTCTTCAGGGCATGGTGGGCTATTATTTGAACGCCTCCGGCGCCGGTAAACGAGTGATAGAGGTCCTCCACTGCCTGGGAATCTCTGTCACTTATGAGGCTGTAAACCACGCACTGCGTGCTAACGCCTCTGCCCTGCGTGATATGCTACGCATCAAGGCTGCTGCCCACCCGTTCTTTGTTTCCTTCGACAACATGGTTTTCTACCAAAGGGTAAAGACTCATACTACTGGTAATCGTCAATATCAACAACACTACACTGCGGGGTATAATGCATTCCTGCAGGGCACCCCGCGCGCTGGGTTCCTCCCTCGCGCTGAAATGCTCAACTGTGATAGTGCCCGATTGATATCTGCGCGCGACGTAATGGTGGACTCAACAACCTTCCAATACACGCGCGACGCCGCGAAGGCCAACATATGGAATATACTCCACAAACATGCGCATGGTGCTATAGAGCTCAATATGCAGCGCAGAGGAAAAGATGGCACTATCATCAAGCCAGGTTACGAACCATTCATTGCCCCCGCACTGTTTCCATTGCCCTTGAAAAAATCTGACCTTCACACAATGCCCACCTTCCATAAGAATGAGGCCATAATCAGCGAGGTTATCGACATCATAAAATCAATTCTACAGGAGCTTGATATCACCGCCCACCAGCTTATGGACAAACTGATCCTCTTCAAGGGCGATTATATAACCGTGAGAAATATACTGTACGTGCGTACTTGGCACAACTCTGCATTCCCTAAGCTAACTTCCGCTAGGAAGGCTGTTTTTCGCAGGCAGGAAGATCAACCTGCGCACCAAATGGAATACGTGGAGCCCGTAATTGGTCTCTTTCATCTGCAAATGTGTATGCTGGGCACTATATTTAAGGCGCACTGGGGGAATGATGGTCGAGAGCCCACTAGTATCCTCCGGTTTGTTAAATTACTTCGAAAGCCCGCGATAAACACACCTAAACCCAAGGATTTCCGCGCATACGATCAATTCTTTCAACAAATACTTGAAGCGCATATAATATCTCTTGCTGCCGAAACTCTCAACGCCGACACCGTCGAGTTGTTCAATCACCGCCTCCGCGCAGCCAACTGGCGTCTTGTAATAGAGGATATGGTTGATGCTATATTCCCAGTATGCGGGGGACTATCCGTCGTCAAGCGCAGGCGTTTCTGTGAGTGCGGCATTCCTGTTCCGCACCAATCCAGAGATATTCTATATGAAAATGCGATTTTACTACTGCAGCAAGGATTGGTGTACGCTGACTACGGTGCGGCGGTATGCGCGGGGGATCCCGGGCACCTGGAGCACATCATTCGCCTCTGGACCACGCAATTACATGGTACCCAAAATATCAATTACCCGCGCGAGGTGATTCATTTGATTGCTTGCATGGAGAAAATATGGTCCCCAGAGATGAGAAATATATGGCGCCACAACTGCCTGGTTAATCCCTCTGGGCGCAGGGGGGCATGGGTGCCCGACGACCTATTTGGTGAGTATGTTGTGCGTGAGATCAAGGCTAGGATCCACCCAAGCAGCAATATTCACTCGGACCAACACCTTAGAGAAACAATATCTCGCCAAGTGATATCGCTACACGCCAGTAAGGTTTCTATGGAGCGAGAATCGCGTGCGCACAGCTATGGGACGCACTCATCCTTGATACGCAGCTCAACTGATGTGGCGAATATTGTGCGCGTACTCCTCGATGAAGCCATATGCAGAGACTCGATCCCCCGCGCGCTGGATAGTGTGAAGGAACAACCGCACTGGGAGGCAACAGATTTGATGGGCGCGGGAATAGCGCGCCTCGCAACTGGGGTGCCACTGCGCGAATATATGCAGCGTGCACGATTCAGCTGGCACCCTGGAAAGTCCTCATCAAACACGTCATCGCTGGATCTCGAAACCGAAGAAGATTTTGATACTGATATAGTTGGCCCAGAAGCCGGGCTAGACGATCTCCTCTGACACATTGTACGCTGGTTTCTTTGTCTGATGGTTTAGTTCTTTGTCCCTGCGCGCAAGTTTCTTTGTCCCTACGCGCAGGTTTCTTTGTCCTTACGCGCAGGTTTCTTTGCGCGCAAGTTTCTTTGTCCCTGCGCGCGGGCTTCTCTGTGCGCAGGATTTCTTTGTTAGACTATGTAGACTGTTTCTTATAAATCCCAAACTTGAGCGCATACTCGAGGGACAAACTGGACCAATGCCCGACATGTAGCAGTGGACAAATTATGGCAGCCAATCTAAATCATCCTATACAGCATCCGGTCGATGTGGATTTTGCAGTCGGTCAGGCAGCGCTCAATACTGGGCGCCAGATACTCAACCAATTGATCGAGATTAGAGCCCATCTGTTCAATGCGGAGGCGCGGCGAATCAACCGCGCAATATATATGAGCGGATCACGGGAGGTTTGGATACCCATGCGACATGTAGATGGCTCTAGCCCAGGGGCTACATTCCCGCGCAACCACGAGGAGTTGCTAGCCATGACTCCCCAGCAAATGGGCACCGTCTCAGCACATTATGGATTGACTCATATACCTTGGCTCAATTATGCGAGTGCGAATAATCCTACGTCGCGCAGACGAAAAATTCTGGCATTTCTTGGATGCCTCGACCTTTGAGAAAGAGCGCGGATATTTATGCGCGCTGTTCTTGCGCGCTGTATATGCTAGGGACACACATTTGCGTGTGCATATTTGCGCGTAAATATATTGAATTGGGGAATAAATCAATAGGCTTAATATATATTTATCAAATCACTCTTTCCTGCCCGTGCGTACTGAAGCAGCGGCCCTGACTTTACCCGCGCGCAGCCCTCCCCGAGGCCTTAGTGGCAGATTTAATCCCTTTGCTTTCTCGTTCCAGCTTGCTATTGCCTTTGATTCAACTTGTTCCTGTGTCTTCCGTGCCGCCAGAATAGTCCTCTTTTGCACCGCGCGCTGTTCTTTAGCTTTGTCTGTAGCTGCGATGGCACGCTGAATCTCTAGTAGTGGCGCCTGCGCGGGGTTTCCGGGATCCACTTGAACAAAACTGAAATCATACATTCGGGGCCGTGGCGGTGCTCGCTCACGTCTTCGCGGGGAAATCACCATCTTGATACTGTCGATGAGTGATAGCAACGACTGTGTGGAGGCCTGGAGGACAGAGTATTCCAGATGCACTTCAGGCGACAGTACCTCGGCCAAGGATTCTGCGCTGTTAATAGTGAATAGCTCCCCTGTAATTTTGGCGATGGCAGCCTCGCTCATGAAATCCGTAGGCATCAAGGAAGGGTATAACCCGCGCACCCAGGCGTTGTATTCCGTTGCGCGCCATTCTATAAGCTTCTCACGCGCCAATACCATCCCAGATTTGGAGGGCGCATTGCTCTTTGCCACTACTACGTCCATATTCTTCTCGAATAGCACACAATACTGGGTCTCTTGGTACTCTGTAGTATATGTATAGCGTATTGAGCGCCGAATATCCACAGGCCCTATCAAAAAATCCCCGTCCCCCCATTCTATTGCATTATTGAAGAAACAATTATCGCAACAAGTAGACGCCGTCGCACTCGTTGGAGGCACGGGAATACCGACGCCCGATATCCAGGAGGGGTCCCCAAACGCGCAAATACCAGCACGCCAACGGCACCCCGCGGTGTTCAGAAACCATACTAGTGCAGGGTCAATATTATCCAGCACACAACGCACATCCGCCGCGAGTGCGCTGTATAGACCCCTAAGAAACTCCTCCATGGATTGCCTTCGCGCGGGGTCAGCCGCGCGGCGCCATCCAAAGTAGAAGCCCCCTTCATTCCCTGGGCGGTCGTTTTCCTCCGGCAGAAAATAACGTTCCTGAACAAATATGCATGCCACCGCATGGCGCGTTGAATCCCTCGCCGCGCGACCAATGCGCTGCCATACTGCAGCGAGGGTAAGATGTGGCATTATTCCCCACTGCACGATGACATCGATGTCTGGAAAGTTGATACCCATAGCAAACACCTCTGTGCCAACAAATATACGGTGCAAGCCATCCTTCACACCTCTCATGTATTGTGCACGGGTGTCTGGCTCAAGGGATGCACTCATGACCTTTATAAGATCTTTGGCGCGCGCAGATATCGAGGGATGCAAGAGGTTTCGTAAATAGCGCGCAATTGTATGCGCGCTATCAACGTTGTCCACAAATACGAATGCCTTTGGAATCATAGAGCCAATAACCACCTGTCTGTCTATAAGAAAGTCAAGTTCATGTAGCGCAGCTAGTAATGCTTGTCTAATAGGTATAACCGCGAAGGTAATATTGGCACGGCCGATTGGCCGCCTGTATATTATAGTCGGCGACGCAAGCAGTAAAACCTTATGGATATAGCCCAATACGTTGGGTGCAAGTGTCGCGGACAGTGCAATGATGGGAATGCTGCGTAGGTGCGCGCGGAAATCGGAGAGGTTGCTATACTCTTGGCGGAATGTTCGATATCCCCACACCACATGAGCTTCGTCCACGGCTATTGCAAGGAGGTTATCTCTGAACGCGCAGGGCTTTCTCAGTATGTGCACCCAGAAATACGACCCAGAGGTAAGGAGGACCTCTGGGGATGCATATACGAGACGATATTTGCCCTCAGCGACCTCACGCAATGCTTGGGGGCGCGCTTGAATCTCCGTCGCGGTAAGAGCGATAGCACCTATTTGATTGGATTGAAGCCACGCTACCTATGTTTGGTCAGTTATACGTACATGTATGCGCGCGCGCTACTAGTATGCCGTGTAGGTTCACATGATTACTTGCCTGGTCGTACATTATGCTCAGCAGTGGAGATACCACTAGGATAATTCCATTTTGCACAGTATATGGCAACGTCTGGAAGATAATGCTCTTCCCTGAGCCCGTTCCGGCACTGACAACGACGTCCCGGTGCATCAATACGTCGGCGATGGCGGCAGCTTGCCAATCATGGAGCTTGATGCTGTACATTGCACGGGCAACGTTGAGCGCGCGCAAGATATAGTGTGCTCGTAAATGATTTGGGTCGACATCGGCGGAATCTAACCACTTTTTACTCTCCATCTTCAGAACTCTTTGGCACAGGAGGTTGGGGCGATGTGACGATAATTGGTGCCTGAAAACTAACTACGTAGTAGATACAGTGGAGCACATGGTTACCCCGCGCACCGCCAAGAACAAGAATGAATACCCCCCGCGCAAGTGATACAGCGCGCACCGCCAAGAACAAGAATAATACCCCCCGCGCACGAGATACAGCGCGCACCGCCAGGAACAAGAATGAATACCCCCCGCGCAAGAGATACAGCGCGCACCACCAGGAACAAGAATGAATACCTCCCGCGCAAGAAATACAGGTAAGCTATAAGAAATACAGTGCGCACCGCCAGGAACAAGAAAGAATGATACCCCCGCGCAAGAAATACAGCGCGCACCGCCAGGAACAAGAATGAATACCCCCCGTGCAAGAGATACAGCGCGCACCACCAGGAACAAGAATGAATACCCCCGCGCAAGAAATACAGGTAAGCTATAAGAAATACAGTGCGCACCGCCAGGAACAAGAAAGAATGATACCCCCGCGCAAGAAATACAGCGCGCACCGCCAGGAACAAGAATGAATACCCCCCGCGCAAGAGATACAGCGCGCACCGCCAGGAACAAGAATGAATACCCCCCGCGCAAGTGATACAGCGCGCACCGCCAGGAACAAGAATGAATACCCCCCGCGCAAGAGATACAGCGCGCACCTCCAGGAACAAGAAAGAATGATACCCCCGCGCAAGAAATACAGCGCGCACCACCAGGAACAAGAAAGAATGATACCCCGCGCATCTACCACAGGTAAGCTATAAGAAATAGAGAGCGCACACAGGTTAGTATAAAAGAAACCCTTTAAAGACACGGCCTGGTTGGCGCGAGAAATGGAGCTCGCACCAAAATCAAGAATCCTGCTTTGGCAGATTTTCTGCCCCGCCTTCTAGATTGTCTGCCCCCCCTTCTAGACTTTCTGCCCCCCCTTCTACATCTCCGTCCGAGGGGATTGCATTCACCCAATTGCCGACATCTGTCGTCTTCTGTGATATTTCTGCTGAGCCTCGAGTGGGGCGCCGCGCATCGGTATTGACGTCCTCGTGCTGGGGGGTATCGGGGACGGTGGGGGAGGAGCCTGCCTCATTCTCATTTATCACTTCAAGCTTAGGTGGGAAAACCGCCCTGCTGGAGGTTTGCCTTGTATAGAGCCCTTTATGCCTATCCTCGAAGCCCTGGCTCTGCGGTCTAGGGCCATAGCGGGGAGTCTGGGGTGCGGGGGTAGAGAGGGGCGCGGGGGTAGGGAGGGGCGCTCCAGAATCGACAACATCCTCGGCTTCAAGGTCAATGACACTACAAGCTTCACTGGAAGGCTCACGAAACGCAGTGGTCATATTAGGGGGCCAATATCTCGACCCCGCGCGCGTGATGTTTTCGCGGGGCGATTGAGGATCCATTTGCGTAGATAGCGGTGACGGCGCGTGCTCACTCGTTTTACGCTCGGGGGTTATTCTCATGGTTTTAAGGGGTGCAGAAGGGTTCGCCGTGTGGTGATATCGGGAGCCCATGTCACCTCTCGAGCTCACGTGGGATTCTGCGGGCGGGGCTTTTGCTACCTTGCGCGATTTAAAAATATGCTCGGTGGGTAGGCGCGCAGGAGGAATGCCGAAGAAGGCGCTGGTGGGCGACATTGCTTGTTGCGCGGTGCCAGGAGCTTCGGCGGGGTGGTTTTGCCATGAGGGGTTGGAGTGATGCTGCATCTGTTGCGCTGGCTGTTTGGACTGATCGCGCGCGCGCGTAGTATATGCTCTCTCAGTTTCCATGGCTTGCGTTGCGTTAGACAAATTTTCGAGGAGCGATGGTTCTTCTCCGTACAGCTCACAGAGCTTGTCTCTTTTTCTTTTGTACTGCTCAATAAGAGCGTGCTGTTTACGAGTAGCAGTGAGCAGGTATTCCTTACGGCGTAGGGCAGCGTAGGCGATAGTATCCATGCGGTTGCACTCGTCGAGGATTATCCGCTGATGAATTTCATGCTTCATGTAAATATTGGAGCGCGCGTATATCTTGGCGAGGGTATTGGAGAGTGGAGTTTCTTCATTGTAATCACAGGCGGAGTCAAGATTTCCTGGGCGCGCAAATATATCTGCGTCCACTAGGTCCGCAGATTTAGCGCGCAAAGCCCGGAACTTGCTTACATCCTCTGCAATCTGTTGGTTGGTACTCGAAACAGCATTCTCCGCATCTTTCACGATGCCAGTGAAGTCAAAGTTAGGGTCGTCAAAGTCGGAGAGTAAACCTCCATGTGGCGGCGATGGGGGAGTGGGGAGAACTGGCGTGTAGCCGCTATTTTGCGATGAATTCTCCGTGGGGCAATATGGCAGTAGTAAGGCGGGTGGACGGTCTTTGATGGGGGTGGAGGGAATTGGCGGAGGCCATATAAGGGGGGAATTGGTGGCAGGGGTTATGTCCTTGAAGATAGTCGCTATGTAATTATCGCCCAGGTCGCTGATGGGGTCTGTGCCGCACTGATGGAGAGCTTTGCCCACAGCGACGCAAAATCTATCGCGCAGGGTCTTTTCCCAGTATTCATCCGTATCATCTTCGAGCCAGCCAATATGGCCAGGCGGAGCTTTCACCGTGGGCACGCCTATCAGTAGGGGCGTGTGGATTTCAATGAGCTCCGTCATCCCAAAAGCGGTAACGTCCGCCAAAGGTGGGGAGGGGCGAACCCTATGCGCAGTTTCTGCAAGGGACCGTCGTTTAAGATAGTCTTCCAGGAGGGGGCTTTCCTGGAAGATTTGGGCGTATTGCTTGACCTTTTTGACCAGATGGTTTAAAACCTTATCGTGCGCAGCCTGGAAGTCGCCAAGAAGATCAAGTTCGGCTTTGGCAAACAACTCTTCGGCGGGCAGGAGTTGCTTAAAGAGGGCGCGTATAGGGGCTTGAAGAAACCCGGCGCGCACGAAGAATACTTGGGCCCAGTAAAGCGGCACGCGCGCGCTCCATTCTTCAATCGACTATTGAAGGTTAGTAGGCAGCGCGTGGGAATATCTGTAGGGCGCGGGGGGGGGGGGGGTCAAACCTTAGAGCTTTGCATGAACTTTCGGAGATGATTGGGTGCGTAATCAGGCTTAATGGTAGGTTTTGAAGCAGGCTGCTTTTTCTTTTTGGGGTCTGGCTCCTGGGTGGAGTTTGGATCTGGGGTTTCCTCCACTCGGGCATTGCGTGAGCGCTTTGGGGGGGGGGCATCGTGGGGCCAGGAGTATGGGTGCGCTTGCGAGCTGGCCCTGCCATGTTTGGTGTACGGCTTTAATTGCGAGCTAAAGGGCAAGCAAGATATTAGTATGGATATATATCTATGTGAGGTGCAGTGTTTTTTCACGCGCACTAGTATATGAGTACGCGTGATTATCCTTGCGCAGGAAAATATAAAAGGTGCACGGGGATCCTCACGCCCGTGTACCCGCGCGGGGATCCTCACGCCCGTGTACTCGCGCGGGGATCCTCACGCCCGTGTACTCGCGCGGGGATCCTCACGCCCGTGTACTCGCGCGGGGATAGAGATGCGCGGGCAAAAAGGAGCGCAAGAATAGAAGTACGCAGCCAAACAGGAGAGCGGGTAGCGCAAGAATAGAGGTGCGCAGCGAAACAGGGGCGCAATGATACAGATGCGCGGGGAAAAAGGAGCGCGGTGACACAGATGCGCGGGCAAACATGAGCGCAGGAATGTAGATATACATACAAGAATATGGGTACGCGTAGGGTACGCCGTGCGTGTAGAATACCTTGCGCGTGGAAAATGGTGCACTAGGAATTGAATTGGGGGTTTAGGGGCAGAGTATACGATGTGGCGGTGGTAGGTGTATGTGGTGAGGATCAAATTCACCAGGCTGTATGAAGGTTTGACGTGATATATCATGATGTGGCTGGATGTGTGGCTGTAATAACATTACCCTGACCTTGTTACTATTACGTAATACAGCCTGGAAACGAGGCTAGGGGCCTTCCGCCCCATCCTCCTCCTCTCGTGCTTACTAAATACCCCTGTCGCTGTCGACCAATAAGACTGCAAGGACTTCAGAAAAAACCATAATCCAGTACATAGTAGACATAGTACCATGCATTATTACTACCGATAATATTCGTAGATAGATACACAGCTGCCCCTGATTATCGCATAAGGCCAAGATGTGACTGGAGCCAATAGTTTTTGATAGTTTTGTTGATCTCTTACTCGATTTTGCTGTGACCTTTTGTTCCACAAGAGGGTGTCAGCATCGATGGTTTATGGGATATCGATACCAGTAATATATGCAACATCTCACAGTGAGATGCAATTTGACAAGCCGCGATAACGGCCAGCCAACTTAGGGCATTCCACGGCATATAAAGAAATAATTTAGAAATGCTACACCACCGATCCAGCCCCCATGCGGTGGTAGTGGTAGTGGTTTATGATGTGCGTATTACACATCACGACCGCGTATATGTGTATCTGATATTAACAAATCCAGTCCCACCCGGTATGGAATATCCCGCCGGCGCGCGTACGGGTACAATTGTGGTTTTTCGTCTCGCTGGTTTGCCTTACGTACCGCCTTTGATATAACAGGGCGTTTTACGCTATCCAGATCTCTCCCCTCCCTCCCCTCGTGAGAACCTTCCTCCTGTCTAGATCTGGTCTCGCTCACGCACGGGCTATCACTCGAGACTTGGCAACGGGGTGGCCGGGGGCTCAAGCACCTCACCTTATTGCAAAGCTTGACATTGGCATATGCATTGTCGCATGGGTTCGATTTGATTAATGAACCCCCCACCTGGCTGGATTTTTACCCCTGCAGTTGTTATATTGGGGGTGTGGGGCCCGGAGGAGAATATTAAGTAATGGGTCTGTAAGCGAGCAAAGGATTTCAGCTGAATAGGTAAATTAAAATGCTTGTACTCTTACTTTGGAGAGTGTAGGTATGTGCATGCATGCACGCACGTTACGCTCGCATGGTAAGGCACACAATTATATGTACCTACATGTATGTGCTGTACTCTACTGTAGAGTTTGATGAGGTCTGAAATTAAAGGGGAGCTCGGGATAGTGAGCGAGATGGAGGTACTCTACATACATCGGCTATTGCCATAGACCTCTAGCTTTTCCCGAGCGGGCCGTTCGGGGCATTCGAGAAGAGAAGACCGAGACCAGGGCCAAGGGGGGGTTGGTGCCTTGGCCGGAGAACGCCGCGTGATGGCAGGCGAGGGAGGTAAGCTTTTGCGGGGAAGGAAGGGAAGGGAAGGTTGAGGTGGGGTGGGATGGGGTGGCGAGAGTGGGGTGCCTGCTGGAGCATCTTAGGATGAGGTGTTCGGGGTGGAGTTGCCCAGCGGAACGGTCAAGACTTCAGTGAGGAGGCGGAACGGATGGCTTCTCCGTCGGAAAGGCCTGGGGCTTCTGGCCAAGGATCGATGGATGGCGAGTGGGTTATGCTGAAGGATGACAGGCAGTGTAATGGTCGAGGATATTTGGGAGACGAGGTTATGCGTATGGGTAACCGTGATAGCTGTGCACATGTGTTTGCTAACAACGACACGCGCGGATTGCTTGAATGGCGGAATGGCGGCTTCTTAGACGACACAACGCCGGGACTGGGCATGGCGGTCGTATAATCGCTTGGTGTCCTGTTCGAGCCGCGACTGTGTTATCTAAACGGGCTATAAATTGACCAAGCCAACCACCCGATCTCATTCTCCAACACTCCCGCCCTTGGCGAGCGCGGTCTCTCTGCGGGTATTGCCCGCTATCTGGAGACTGTGACAATGGTTTCCACCCCCTCTCGGATCCGAGCGGGCATTCACTGAGGGCCGCGTTGGCTGGAGAGAGTGGGCCGTGGATATAGTTGGAGACCCGGGCTTCGTTTTGGGTCGGGAAGAGGTTGCACCCGGCCTAAGCACTTCGAATCTTGCCTTCGAGGACACCGCCAAGTTACCCACGAAGAACCTGGAGCAGAAATATCACCCAGATCTGAGTTATCTTGATGCTTTTATGGCCACTGTAGTCATGTCTTTATCAACTGATTCTAGAAACCCGGCATTTGTTCTAGCTTGGATTCTCCGAGTGATATAACGTGACCCATAGGTACATATTTACACATATCACATTACCGCACTATATACAGACAACTCCCTCTAAAGAAATCTTTTGTCAACCCACTTCTTGCTTCCTATCGTGTTCTCAACGCTCCAAGTCTTCTCCGCCTCCTCTCTACCAATCAACTTTGAGAAGTTCGCCCTCTGCGAGTTCCACGCTGACGCACCCTTATTGTTATACTCGGCATAGTACACCGCATCGGTCCTCGGGTCGGTGGAGCCCCAAATTGACCATCCCCGCAGGTCTACAACATTGCCAAAGTCAGAGTTCTTGAACACGACAGTGGAATGGTTGCGCCATGGGCGTCCGAGGAACATGCTGTTGTCCGTGGCATTCTCGACGGTGATGAGCTTGGCATTGTCAAACACGTAGGCACCAAAGTAAGATGAGTTCTCGCGGCCTTGGGCTGTGATGTAGCCAGCGCGCGAGGAGGCCAGGATAGCGTCTTGGAAGTATGCGAGACCGCGCATGCCGAAGATGTAGTCGACGGCGCCCTTGATGTAGACATTGCCAAAGAAGGCGGTGCCATTTTGGGTGTAAACAGTGTCCTAATTGATACCATTAGCTACTGCTTCGATTGTGGCTAAAATTTTGATTTCAGGGCATACCTGGAAGGAGTAGAAGCCAGACGAATAGTATCCATTTCTAGCACCCGCCTGGCACAGCGCCAACGCCTGAGACTGGGACCCTTCTGCTCCACCGGTGCCATACGAGTTCTCGATATCGATGTTGTACACTGTCGTATCATTTGAGTAGATCTGCAGAGTAGCGCTCTTTGCGTTCGAGCCGGCCACTGAGGCCACCAACGAGTTTGTGAGCAACACAGTGTTTTCTTTCTGCGACTTGATATTCTTGGTGTAGCCCTGGAAGACGGTTGGACCTGGACGCCAGAGTACTACTTGCCCCTTGTAGGTTCCAGGGTAAATGAAGATTGTCTGCGAGGAGGTGTCGTTCGGGAGGGCCCAGACGGCGTCTTGCACCTATGAGAGTGTTAGCGGGGTGGAGAAACATCGTCCTTGAGCATGCAGGCTTACGGATTTGAAAACATTGGGGGAACTGCTGTTGATGTCGACTACAACGGAGCCCTTGGGGGGCTTTGTGATGCCGGTTGCGACAGCCAATGTTACTGGGAGCAGGAGGAGGAGGTTGAGGATATGCATCGTGATCGTGATATAGAACAGCTACGAGCTAACGTTTCTGCGGTACGATTCGGATTCGAGAGGTTTAAAGATGCTCAATTGGATTGACTGGTCTGTTCCTGTTTTCTCTACTGGACAAACAGAGAAGTAGCAATTGATACCAACGGGGGATTTCCAGCATCATTTATATACTGCGATTTCTCCATAACCCCGAACATCAGCAAGGTCCGGAGAAAGAACCGCATCCATAATTCTTGGAAGGAAAAACTCACAGCTATCAAAACCAACATTCCCAAGCCTCTAGGGTTTATATTGCAATTGCATTGTATTCGTGTACAGCATATGCCCCCCAGCCCCGGAAAAATGACGTTTGGATGGATGGAGATGGCCGTTAACTTTGATCGATACCCCACCTTTTCGTCGCCTGCAGCTGCTGTAAGGACTCAGATTTCAATCTAGAGTACTTTGCCGGTCTATTGATACCGAGATGCCTGATTTATTTCAGCAAGAATCAGAAGCAGTACCTGAATACGCCACGAGTTTTCACACATGACCACATGTACAGTACTTGGCATAATATGGCGAGTACCTGTTTATTTTATGGCTTCTCTATGTGTGGGGTACTTTATAATCACTGCCATCCCGGATTACCTTTTCTTCCTGGCTGAAATAAATATATACACACGGACGGTGCTGTAGTTGAAAGGACGAATGTGGAATGGCTACTACCTAGGCCTACTACTACTAGCTACTACTAACTTACCCCAGATTTATTTCCTTCCCCCACTCCCCACACACCCCGCATATATATCCACATCCCTGTTTTTGTCGGCAATCTACAGCCCCTGGTCGGTTACCTCTAATTTTTGCTAAGCTCTGCACATACCCGGGATATTTTGTGGGGTCTCGGTGGTATTATACCGAATGTGGCGTTCGTCTGATGTTAGTGTTTATCCGAATCTGCTGTCCGAGCGAACATTGAGGAGAGCTTATTCAGACTAACTAGGCATCTTGTAATAGTCTGTGTATGATACATATGTTCAGTATGTTTATCATGAGGGTACTGAGCTGATTAGAATATAGGAGCTTTCTATCTACAAACATCGTCCACTCGGAGCTTTAGTACCTACATCTTGGATCTGTAATCATCTGGTGCGACAGCAGAGTAATATCAAATCCAGCCTGATGGGATTGCGATTACGCAGCTTCCCGGGTTTTTGCATTTCGGCTGCTCTTGAGTCTCTAAATCCTTCCTTTTACCCAGCTGCAGGGGAAATTTGGGTGCCAGCGGATCAATTTAAATGCGGAGAGATGGGGGGGTGGATACAAGTACCTATCTGCGAGCATCTACATGCACAGTAATATACTAGCCTCGGCACCCAAAAGTCCGCTGGGAAATCTTTTCTACATTGACCTACTTTTCTCATTATATCGAGTATTTTCAATTTGGGGGGAGGGACGGGAGGGAGGCAGGAGGAGGAAACTATATAATGCTGCACAAACCCACGATATATATGCATCTCACGATCCGGCTCATCACTCCCTCTTTCGGTGCTCCGTACGTCTCTCTCTAAACAAATGGCCCGCTTCTACTTGATCCTCAGTCTTGCGGCCGCCGCAGGACTCGCCTCAGCCACTGACATCTGGGGCTACGGAGAGCACACCACCGGTGGAGCAGGCGCCCCAAAGAGCAGCATCTACACCGTTACAGACTTCAACGAGCTCCGTACAGCGCTCGACAATAACGGGGCCCCTCACGATCCAAAGATCATCTACATCAGTATGCCCCCTCCCTCAATTGCCCCCATATAACCAATCATTAGCTAACAAAGTCACCAAACAGACGGCCTCATCGACGGCGACTACCTCGCCGATGGCTCCCTAGCCACGGAAGAGCACTACGCCCGCAACGGGAACTACACATTTGAGCGCTACCTTGACTCGTTCAATGCGACGCTGCGCGCCATCCTGGGTAACTCGACGGACCCTGCGGACGCAGCGGAGCTTACGCTCCTCGACGCACAGGAGACGTTCCGGCAGGCGGCGTCGAACGAGCAGGAGGCGCAGATTGTGCTCAAGATTGGGAACAATACGACGATTGAGAGCGCCAAGAAGGCGAAGGTGGCCAGGATCCAGAATTCGTATATTGCATTGAATCAGACAGATAATGTCATTTTGAGGTATGTTGTTGCTCTTGTGATGTTAATGATCCTTTTGTTTTGGGGTGAATGTGGGTTAGGGGTGTGTGAAGAAAAGGTGGGCTGATGATGCTTTCCGATATGCGCAGAAACTTCGAAGTCTACTCCCCCATCGATCTCTTCCCCGAATGGGACCCCACCGATGGCTCCACCGGCAACTGGAACTCCAAATACGACTGCGTCGGCGTCGTCACCAGCACCAACATCTGGATTGACCACCTCACGCTCTCCGATGGCGACCACCCCGACTCCGACGAACCCATTGTCTTCGGGCACCAGATCCAGCGCCACGACGGGCTCATCGACATCACCGAGGGCTCCGACGCCGTCACCCTCTCATTCAACAAGCTCCTCTCGCACGACAAAACCAACCTCATCGGCAACAACGACGCCGGCAACCTCGGCCCCGGCGACACCGGCCGCCTCCACGTCACAATGTACGGCAACCACTACTATAACTCGCTCCAGCGCAGCCCGCGTGTGCGCTTCGGCGAGGTCCACGTCTTCAACAACTACTTTGAGGGCCAGAGCTCGGGCGACGAGAAGATCGTCTACTTCTTCGGCATGGGCATCAACTCCACCATCCTCTCGGAGCGCAACGCGTTCTCCATTAATGGCACCGAGTCGTTGACCACCAAGACGAACCTCGTGGTCGGTAACTACAAGGGCTACAGGTTCAAGGACGTAAAGTCCACCGTCAATGGCACAGAGGTCGATCTTGAGGCCGTCGCAAAGACGAAGTACGATGCGGCAAAGGCGTCGGAAGTTGCGGCGGCGGCGGCAGCCGGGAGGGCGGTCGCGGAGTGGGCGACGCATGAGTATACGGATGTGGTGTTTACACCGCCGTATGAGTACCGTCAGAAGAAGGCGGAGGATGTGGCCAAGTGGGTGTTGAAGAATGCGGGGTATGGGAACTTGTAGTTAGTTTTGTGAGTAGGTTGTGTAATGGACTTGTGGCTTGTGGGCTTGGGGGTGATGGGAGGGTTTTATGGTAATGATAATGGATATTATTGTGTATGTAGTGTAGTTAAAAAGGAAAATGTACAGAAAATAAAGGTTATGAAATGCTATGTGTAGCTTCTTCTCCGTTATGTCGAGCTGTTAGTCCCCGGTGTATTTACACCAAAAATCTACATCAAGAACCCACCCAATCCAACCAACCCAAACTTTCGAAATAATACCTCTTAAACAGAGTAGTCCCAAACCATGATCCGGATAACCCCAAAAACATAACTCCCGAAGAACAGCGCCAAAAGACAACAGTAAGAAACTTCATCACGAGTAATCACTCGACGCTGTTTCAGGTGTCAGGGTTAGGTGAAGGTTTCTTTTCTTTTTCCCAAGTCAAGGTGGAGCGAATATTATAAAAGCCCGTAACGCAGGATCAAGGCAAAACATCCGCAGCTGGGTTATCACGTTCACGATGGGCTGCTAGTGTAGCGGGAGGTAGGAATTGTTATGAGCAGCTTCCCGTACGTAGACGATGGACCACATATGGATTACCTCGCGGTACCTTAAAACGGGAATTATTAGTACACACTAGCGGGAGATGTAATATCAGCTAGCTCCAATGAGAACACTAGCAGTACTGCCAAGTGGCAAGAACAAAGCATTTTTCAATCATTGACCCTCAGGGCTAGCTGATGGCACATGTGGTATATACATGTATGTATGTTATCTATAAAGCCCGAATATCTTTAGCAACAAAAAGTGACTTTGCGAATCAATCAAAACACTACTTCCTGATCCATTTTCCAGGCGCAGAATATGCTATTCTGAACAAAAAGCTTTGGAATTTCCCGCCGGAAGTCCTCTGGTAACTAGAAAGTAAGATCTATGGAGGCTCCTCACTAATATAACGGCAAGAATAGGCCAAAATAAACGCCCGGTACAAAACAAGAAACAAAATCGGGACCAGCCCGCAAGATCATTTTATAAATATAATACCGCAAACCCCCAAATCACCGACGCCACCACCATCGCCTCTGTACCCACCCTCCCCACAGCAGCGGCGCCAGAGCTCCTCCCTATCCCCTCCGGCGGCCCCGGAGGCCCTAAACTCGCATTCATCCCCACCGCGACCACAGTACCGTTATCCTCCTCTATAAGATTCGCAAACACCATAGCATCGATAAACGGGAACTCCTCAATCTCGATATCGCTACACATCTCCCGCAGGTCTTCAAGGTTCTCGGCGCTGGGGACATTGAGAACTACGGACTGTGTGAGGCAGTTGTCGGCGCAGAAGCGCCGCACGGAGGCGTCGGAGGCGGTGTCGGCGGAGACGGCGTCCCAGGCGATTACATAGTCCTTCTCGGTAATCATGCAGAGTACATTGGTCTTTCTGCCGCGGTGTTAGACCGGGGGACACGGGGTTTTATGGGGTATACATATATGTGTACCTACAGATCTCGGACGCATTGTTTCCAGTATAATAATACGCCTGCCTCGCCGTCAACCGCTGCTTCTAGCCATGATGTATCCAGATCCAGATCCCTGAGATCAACGCCTGCACAGGCGTCTTTAAGGTTTTTCTGGAAATTCAGTAGTGAGGCTGCACAGGTTGGGTTACATGAGTCCTCGAGTGTTTCGTTCTTGGTGTCAAGGTTGGGGGACATTAGAATCGTGGTGTTGCAGTTTATGGGCTCTGTATATGCGGAGATACAGGCCGCTGGGAGCTCGTCTGTAGCAGATGCGGGAAGAATGCCGTTGAAGAGCCAGGAGGGCTTGGTGATGTTGAATCCCGTATCGAGGAGGGCGTGGGTGAGGGAGAATATTAAGGATATGAAAACTACTGATAATGATCGTCGCATCTCGTATATTTTTACTAGAAGAAAAGGATACGTAAGAAAGAATGTAAATGTATATTGTCAAAGCCTAACCTCGCTATATTAGTTTCCCAGGCCGGTTTATCATGAATGATCGTATTCTTGTCGTCAAATGCCCACGCCGTAAAAATATTCGAGAAGACCAACCAATCCAGAGCAAAGAAGAGGCCGGGACTATTGTGGATTATATCCTAAGAATTGCAGCCAGACCGGCCATGGCAGGTTTCATGAATGAAACGCCATGTGGTCTTCGGCCCACTGATAGCGATATCGATGAGGAACTTCTCCTGGTGAGGTTTCACGAACACCTTATGCAATGCTTTTTTGCACTTTATCCGATATCTTATCGTCAGAGATTGAAATTCTAGCCGTTGCTGGCTAGCTATGTAGTGATTTATGAAGATGACAAAAGTTTGTCGCGCAGGGATCACAAGAGTTGCGAAACGTGCAGTGATGGAGATACGATAGCCATGATATGGCACGTGAGCAGTATCTCTAATGCGTACTAATATTGTCTTCTTTAAGATCAAGTTCCAAGATCTTAAGAAAAAGCTTAAGGTCCATTATATGAGTATCCCGAAACTTACATCATCTTGTTGAAATAAGGTTTTTAGATTGATATTTCTGGTTAAACTCCCCGGCCCTCGAGCTCCCTACAGCCGCTTTTTATCTGACACAAAAAATCCCCCACATCTGTATGAGGTTTTTGTCTTCTGACCGCGCTGATAACAAACCTGTGATTCTCTGTGATGCAGATGGATCGTGTGGCTCGTTCGTCTCAGGTACGAACTACGTATATGTACGGATATAGGGGCGTAAAAACTAAGTAGCTTGGTTTCATTACAGTTATTGGCTACTACATTAATCTAAAGATACGAGTCAGTACACTGTAAGTTTAATGGTGATAGAAACTGCCCCCAACCTGTAGAGAAATCTTTTTTTCTAATGATGCAAAACATACCCAATGGTGTGGACCGGTTGTGAGCAGCGTCGCCGGCGAGCGAAGCTATTTTAAATCGATGATTACCTGGCTTTTTATTTTAGCTTGGAAATCGTGTTCTATCTAACTCAGGTATACCTAACGTGCTCAACTTGCCGAAGTTAACTTCTTAGCATCCTCCCTGCCTAGCTCCCTTAGAGTATGAAGTCAGATGTAAAAAATCAAGGAGACCAATGCTACGGCCAATTAACCGTAAAAGGTGCTTCTTATTGCTCAGCCTAAGATCAAGATAGCTCGAGGTTCAGAAGATAGAAGTAATGATAGGGGTCCTGATAGATGGGTGGGTCATAGCTAGAAAAAAAGACTTGAACAAGTCTAGCTCACATATTTTCCGTCAGGGGCGCAAGAGGCATGCGAAGTACATTGAAAATGTGTTGAAAAGATGTTTCAACCTTCTAATACCTCAGATGGAAATGATTAGTAGGAGATGTAATTCTCTGTATCTCCGAAAAGAATATTGCAAAGAGACAAGAACAAAGCACGTTTCAATCATTGGCCCCAAGACTACATAAAGCGATCGCGGTACATTGCTGATTGAGCATGTGCTTGCAGTGTGTTTTAGTACATTCATATTTAATATAAGATTTTGTATCTGTAAAACCCCGTTGTGCAGTACTCGCAATATCCCACCATGCTAAAATGCACCAAGAAAAAAACGCAAAACAGTTAACTGAAGACAGCCCGTACCAGTACAGACTACCGGAACTTGGAGCGAGTCCGGTCTAGTACACCGAATATTGGGCCGGACAGGTTTTGTTAACTCATTGGCTGTACCTAGCCCAAAGGCTAGGTACGGATATATTCATATATCGGTTAGTTCATCAAAACTTCTGGGTAATGGTAGTATTGGTCCGAGTCTAGTGGGGAACCATAGGATGTTATGTGCCCCTCTATTCAACGCAAGGATTGAGGATTCCACAGAAGTATTCGCATCTTTTAATTCATCCCCAAGAATAGTGTCTGGTTGTTGGAAATTGTAGCGACTCATGATCATGTATAATTGATAATATTCCAAATCTCTACTACTTAATTATGTTCCTCAACTACCCGCGAACTTCCCTAATTACCTCTCAATATCGGCTATACTATTTGATTTGTAGTCAAGTACTCCTGGAAAGCTCGCCCTATATCAATTCGCTATACATGTTTTCACTTTTTCAGACTGAATATTAATACTAAGCGCATATGCGCATGATACGTATACTGTAATTAATATAGCTGAACATTGAACTTACGAAATACTTTTCAAGCTCAGCGGCAACTGCGTTCATTCCCTAAAACCCGAATAGTTTGAACTACTTGGTACATACCACTTTGGTTCCTCAATATATTCGTGTAGAACATATACAATTTCGGCTACTTTTGCCTAGGGTGCATGTAGGCGTCTAACTAAGGATACCCAATATAAATAGTCATCAAGGAGCAACACATAATACCCGGTACAGTGTGTGGTTTAGAAAGAAACCATGGGGGGAAACAATCCGCGGCCATGGTCACGGCTTAGCTCGCTGATCTGGTGCCGTGAATCGAATGTTGATTCTGGAGACAGCATCTGTTGGGCTCGTCTTCACACCCTAAAAGATTACATATGAACCATGCCGTATGGCGTGTACTCTTTTAGAATATTGGGCTCTTATCCGCAGCCTTGGTGTCGGTGTCGGTGTCGGCCTTGACTCCGGTGCCGGCGTCGATATACTCGAAATCTTCCAACTATTAACTCCACACGATGTATCATCCAGCGCATAGCTACGTTAGTGGCATGCCACCGTCGCTTCCTGAGATTAATGTTTGTAGCGGAGTAACCCATAATTTAATTCTGTTCTCGCTTAAAATAACTCATACCACCTTCCATCGCGGCAAAATTAGGGCCGTTTACGCGCTTATTATATGTATGCTGGTTGTGTATTTTACATCACGCGCATCTCTTGATCGCTCCGTTATCCCGAGAATGTCTTGGCAATGTAACCGAGTGATTGTGCATGCAACGTGCGTGATCGGCAAGTCGGCTATCACATATTGAATATAAAGTACGTACTCACTCTAGCCGAATAGTGCAAGAGTGCAGTCTACCTAAAATACGACATACTTGCATACTTAGAGACATTATTGATACCCCTATCAGCAAGGAAGGACTGTTGATCAAGGGCCAGTCATGTAGGCAGAGCAGTTGAACTAATCGATGTAGGAATCAATCGATTGATTGTATAGATGCGTGAACCTCAGGTATGTAGATGCCTGGGTAAAAATCGACAAGCGCTGCCAATGACTCTAACCCGTGCCCATAAGGCGTCTAATCAGCCGACGTAAAAGATAACGATATAGGAACGTACGAGGCCGCCAATATAACACAGATTACCCCCCAAACCTGCAGGTATCCATAACCCACTCGAGAATCTCCCCTCCCAGCTACCTCATGTACTCTTCTTAAATTGTGGCCTGTTCATTTGGAATAAACGAGGTTTTATGTACGCATACGCGATACAATCCCTAGACACACGTTTCGGGCCCATACCTACTCCATACCCTTCCGCATGTGGGCAAGAATAGGCACAAACAACCCTCGAGGAACGAAGAAAACATACTATTAATGGAGATGGATATCCTGATACAAATGTTTTTGCATTAGTGAAGAGCTGCTGTGCTGTGTAGGTATAGTTCTTGTTCAAAAGTCCCGGGACAACGCAACCGCGAGTTGCTACGGGGGCTTGTCCCAGGATTTTTGACACGGAGGTATACATGTAGGTTTCTACCTAGTTAAGAATACAACCGAAGAATTAACAACGTTCAAGGGATAAAAACCAGATGGCTCATGCCAAACGAACATGGCCTACATCGTAAACAGCCAGGATTCTCCATGGAACCACGTGCAAACCTCTGACCTGAATTCTCCTAGTGCCGGGAATGCAAGCGCTGAAGGAGTTTCTCTATATCGTAGTATATATAGTAGATAAAGAAAAAAAAGGTCAAATAAACAAGGTACCTGGTTGAAAAATGCGGGGCCACGTTTTGATCTGAGCACACATATAAAAGATCCTCGAGAACCTAAATTAGCTATGTCTTACTTTCTTCTTATAAGCACTCCTCCATAACATAAACCTAAGGCCAGGAATTAAATTAGTGTAAATTCCCCGCAATAAACAGCAAACCATGGTACCGTCACCGGCTACTCAGAGCCTGTTGATAGCAGAATCTTCGGGTTCTGAAGATAATGATTATGATTCCCTCTATGGGAGTGGCACGTACGTAGTAAACCTTAGCGCCCCCTATATCTCCTCAACGACTGTCAGCCAGATTCTAACATTACCAGCGGCACCGATACAACATCACTTTCATCTTCAATAACCAAATACAGATATGAAAACGGTCGGCGGTAACTACCCTCCTATCTCTTCTGTATCCAATTCCCAGACTTACTGTTATGTCCCCTCAGATACCATGCCTACAGCGATGGCAAATACTGGGCCCCCAATGACGATAAGCAGAACGGGCAGCTAGATATATTTCACCATATATACTCTCTCGTACTAGAAGGAGACCTTTTCAAAGCCCCAATCGGGAATGACCCGCAGAGTGTCCTTGATCTAGGTACTGGGACCGGTATCTGGGCGATCGATATGGCGGACAAGTTCCCGTCGGCCCGAATCATTGGGAATGATCTCTCGCCAATCCAACCTGAATGGTGTGTTACATCTCCACTAATTCAAAAGTAATTGTTTGCTAACATTTACCCAGGGTACCCCCAAATCTCCAATTCGAAATCGATGACTTCACGAAAGAATGGGCACACCAGTCCAATTCTTTCGACTTCGTGCACGCCCGTGCCCTCTATGGCAGCATTAGTGATTGGCCGCAATTCATCTCCCGTGCATACGAGGTCACGAAGCCCGGCGGATGGTTTGAATCTGTTGAGACGACAGTCGAGCACCTCAGCGATGATAACTCCATTCCCAAAGACTCTGCAGTTCTAGAGTGGGGCCGCAACTGCAAGATTGCAGAGGAAAAGATTGGAAAGAGTTTCACTCTGGAGTACAAGATTAAGCCGTGGATGGAGGAGCAAGGATTTATTAATGTGGTTGAGAAGGAGTATAAGGTGCCTGTGGGGCCGTGGCCTCAGGATAAGCATCTTAAGGAGATCGGGAAGTATAATTTGTTGAATATGCTGGAGGCAGCTGGTATGTCCTTTTTGACTTTTGAGGTCCATTCGCTTGGAGAATGTGAAATAACGTTGATTGCAGAGGGATTTACAATGGCGATTTATACGCGCGTCCTTGGTTGGGATCCGGTTGAGGTCCACGCTCTGCTGGGACAGGTACGAGCGGAATACCTTAATAGAAAAGTCCACGGTTATTACAGATTGTATGTTATATGCCGCCTGAACTACTTTTCGCCATGATCAATACTGATTCCGTGAATCTAGATTCGTTGTTTACGGTCAAAAACCAGAGGATGCATGTAAGGATGCCGAGTAGTCTGGTATCTCCGGAGCAGAAACACGTTATTTTCGATATGAAACTCCCTGCATTATTATGTATTATTTATGTACTTATGAATTATTTCCGAACTTCTCCTCGACTTGGTTTCTATCACAGCCGTACATGATCGCTCAATGAAAAATGAAGTGTTAATTCACAGAATCCTCCTTCTCAACCTCCTCTAGTACCAACAAAACCACCAGCCTTGACATGATTCTCCACTCTCAACTTTCTCCAAGCCGCTTCTTCTGCAGTCATATAAACAACTGTCACCTCCTTATCATCCTGAAGCAGAAATAATTTCTTAATCTTTCCCAGAAACCCAGGCCTTTTTTGGCGATCAATCATCTTCTGAATCTTTTGCAACATCTCTTCTTCAGTATATGTATCCTTTAAGAGAACTGTTGATAGCTCACGCTTCAGAACTGGGACGGATCTAACAGTGGTGGTTGCCGCATAGGTTTCTGAGATTCTGAGACCATCTGTCGTAAGGATGTACTCGATAGGTGGTCTTGAAGAAGCAGGTGACTCCGAGATCAGTGAGCAGTTATTGTCTGGCTCACCGGGAAGTCGTAGGAAGGATCGTTCTGCCATTCAATCGGAATATAGTAGATATATGGCCGATGGCTTTTCGATTGGACAGGCTCTTGAGTGTTCACCGGCAAGCAGAAGCTAGTGAATCATGGGTGAATTGTGTAAACAGATCAAGATGGATGGGTGCTCGAAGCGGAGGGGGTGATCACATAATTACATGTAGCTGTTCGAATATAGGTAATCATGGGGCCAATATCTGCGACAATTAAAGTCCCCGGTCCCTAGCTAGCGCAACACCGAAAAGAAAACAATCCATCAATATTAGGAAATAGATATATTGTTATTCTACAAACATGTTCTGTGTACCTGTTAGCTTATTAAGTGTTCAGCATTGGAATGTGAGCTACATACCATTATTGGCTTTAATTGAGTATGAGCTATATAGATAATAGCCTAGCAACCCCGGATGATATATATCACGGCGCAGCTCTAGGGTCGATCATAATACATAACCTTGCCCGCCCACACTAGTAGCACTACGACGAACTTCAAAATGCCGACATGTACTCATCTTGGCCTTTATCATTACCGACGTAGAACGTTTTAAAACCAGACAAAAACTCTCCCGCAGAATCAGAAATCAAATTCCATAGGCGTAGGGTAATTCAGATTCTCCATTTGTTTTCCCAGAAACTAGACAGGGAGTCTTTCGTATCGGATTTAATTATCATGATTTCCAAGTGAAATATAAACATCCGGTCAGCAACGGCCCCCAATAAAACAATCAATCGCTGTACATGTGGCACATGAACTAAGAAGTTTTTAGTGCGCCTACTTGCGATCGATCCGTAGCTAGGAGCTAATAAACTTTAACGATTAGTACCGCTGATCTGGAGATCCCGAGGACCTTACTTTATCTCAGCCATAGAGAACGCCCAGTCCCGTGCCCAGGCTGTGATAATTCTCTGTAGCGACAAAAATGTTGAAATGGAACTATAAAATTCCATTGCATGTCGAAATACACATTTTGTTCCATCAGGGCTGGAATTTTCACTATGTATCCAGACGCAACAGAGAGCTGTATGGGGTAAATTTATACAAATCACCGCCTGTGTAGGCAGATCTCGTCTTGCGAGATTTTTACTAGACTTCTCATATCTCCAACTTCGCCGAGAGAACGGACGATATCCACGAAAACATAGTGCGATGGAAGAGCTTCGATCCAGGAGAAGCTATTGGAAAGGGTTGAGCTACTGTTAGTCTGGTGTAGAGAAACCCAGACACAAATCCTTGTTTTGGTCAAACAGAACGAGAAAAGGAGAAATGGATTGATATAAACGGCAGAGTGTCGTTAATTTAATCTTTAGCATACGTACCCAGTTGGCGCCTAGGGCCTAGTCCGCAGAAGCTGCGATAAAGGTGATCTGAGAACGAAGCTAACGTTACTCTCCAGCTAGTCTCATTCCCAGACTGTTTTGTTGTCGCACTGCGTGCAGACACAGCAAACACAGGCTGGGCACGAGACTACTCTCCAGCCATCTGTCTACGGACTTAACTTCATCTTTCAATGGCTCCCCGCCCCCACCTCTAGCTCCCCAACACACACAGCCCACAGAATCTCCCCCATTCTAGAGAGCTTCTGATGAGATGGAAAGTGATCTACACATAAATTTATGCCGTGAGTGCTGAGGCTTTGAAATTTTCGATTCCGCTGACCGTGAGCGATCGAGCTACTTGCCTAGAAAACCCTTCTCCTCACCAATAACTATAACGCTACGTTTAGGTTAGATACATTTTCCCCTCAATTCAACATGAGAATCAGGAGTTTAATATATAGTGTAGATATTTATACTATTAGTGGTAAGTAATATCCAATATCTAAATATAATATACCTAGCTTTATCCTTATTAAAACTGACGGAGAATGTTCAGATTACCTAGGCCGTCAGGCCTGATCTCAATAGTTGTGATATAAAAAAAACTATAGGAATGCATAGCTCCTCACGATTTTACACTAGCTCTTACCATCTAATCCATGATATCATCTAGGCATGGACACTTCTCTGCAATGTTTGTATCACGCGCCGCGAGGGAGATGCTGGATGGGCATGTATATACATATCTCCCACCTCGAACACTGTTGACTACATTGGCTCCGTCATATTTATCGACTTTTCCCTTGGCCATTGGAATGCACTCGAAGTTAATATTAATAGTGTTACTCTTCCTGGTACACGAAGATATAGAAATTCCAGTATTGGGGCTTATCTAAGTTTAACCATGGATCTCCAGTCAAAGAAACTTGTCCCAAATTCCCATTGGCCTGCCGGGAAAACCGACGGCTTTTTTTAAAAAAAAAAAAAACTGATGGATACTCTTCAACATGCATGAAGCTTAGAAGTTGCTAGGCAAGTAAGCAGAGAAGGTTTATAAGTACTTGGCAGTTGTTACACTTTTGGAGCTTACTAAGGCTTGCGTTCCTAACAGCTAACATTTTCTGGATTGGTCAAGCGGCACAGCAGTTTTTGCGATCCAAAAGAATAGAATTTCATTGGTGGGCTTAAATCAACCACTTACAGTCGTATCTATTGAGAATTTGAGACTTTGAATCCTTCAAAGACTGTACCATGTCCCTAAATCTAGCAGTTTCTTTTTGGGGAGTTAACTAAGCTAATCGATATATACACAGCTAGTTACGGTTATCATGATTGTACCTAGATAGTACAATATCTGGCCCGTCTCCGCATTGCCTATCTTGCAGACTTATGCTTCTAGGAGTGAGTTGTCAATGCCGCGACCACAAACAATACGAAGTAGGGAAAAGCAAACCCGAGTCAGCTCTAGTTTATCGAGAATCAGTACCTTCGATGGTGCAGATCTTTGAATCTATCGGGCACGGGCCAATTAGGCGTCACCATGTCTTGTCTTAGTCCGAAAAGTGAAACCAGTTATTGAACCCTGTGGTTCGTGAGACATTGTCGAGTTAAGATAGTTCTCAATTCAACGGGGGTTGGAGATATTGAGGACTTTAAGTGGGCATTTCCTTATACTGCCTTGAGCTTCACAGGAAGGTCTCCATTCGGGATTCCGAACTCATAACCTTTCCACTTACTTCAAGTCTATGGCGAGAGAGATATCCACGATCTGTATTACAGACCTTCTGTTTCGACCCTCTCGGGGTAGGTGTCTCGAAGTAAGACCTCGGGTGCTCATGTCACTACCCGATCGGTCTAGTCTCGTGCATGTCATATCACTAAGATTCGGAGAATTAATAATTACTATCAATCGGTGTGCATGAATATATCTACAGTTAGACAACAAAATTCAGCTTCTTGGCCAGTTGAGCCTAGAATCAAACCCTCTTAAATACCCCACAGGTACTTTAGGTGAGCCCGCGGAGCTTTTATCCCACACAGCCCTTCCTCTCCTAATACCACTCTTCTATTAATCTACATAAAAGAAATGCTTTTGATAGACCTCCCAAATGAACTGCATGTTTCCTGCAAAGCATGCTATACAAGCATGCGATCGAGGATAGTCTCGGAGTGACAGCACTCATGTGGGCTGCGTCGAAAGGCCACGAACCTCTAATCCGACTGCTACTAGAAACAGGAGCGGTCGGGGTTAATGACCGTGACGACGAAGGCCTCACTGCACTTCACCGGGCCGCATCGGAGGGACATATTGAGTTAATCAAGCTTTTACTTAAGCACGGTGCCGATATACATGCCCGCACGAACGACTTTTCGACGATCCTCCATTGGGCAGTGACATCAAGGTCAGAAGATGTAGTTAGATTGATTATTAAGAGTGGTTTGAATGGAAAAGAAATTGATTTCCAGGACTTTGAGGGATCGGTCTATAGTCAACGATATCGGGGTACAGCACTTCACTGGGCAGTGGTAGGAGGACATGAGGGTGTGGCCCGGGTATTGCTTGAGGAGGGTGCAGATAAATCTCTCAAAGGCAATACTGGGAGAATGGCTATTTTTTGGGCTGTGGAGTTCGGATATGGGGGTTTATGCAGGATGTTGCTGGTGGACGGGTTTGATTTTAATGTGCTAGATAGTTTTGAGTCCACAATACGTGAGCTGGCAGAGTCCGTGGGGAACGATGAGATAGTTAGGCTTCTGAAAGCATACTAGAATTTTATATGCTTGAAATATGGTGTTTTACTCGAGATGCAACTGCACGACAGGCATTGTAGATAGGTTTATTGCATTATGTATATTTTTAATTTCTGTTGTTCAATTATAATAAAAGTTTTCCGCGGGCTTGGGGTCAATTAAGTTATGTATGTACCTCATCAGTCACAGATAGTTAGTGATTGAGATTTCTTTGTGAGATAGCGATAGCATATTGAAGTTGATTTCGATAGCACCTCAGGTGTTACAATGTAGTGTTTATGAATTCTACCCCCAACCCGCTGTGCACACCCTCTACTCGCTTGTCCCGCTTGTCTCGCCTACCTTAGTTGCAGGGTAAGCTATCAAAACACATGCCACACCGCTCGCCGCCATCCAATGGCTGTGCCATATACAATCCCTTTGAGTTAACCGTACGTTCTCGGTTATCAGGAACGGCAAGTGGCTACCCCCACGATAGTGTCTGTTCTTCCTGTTATGTACTTGTTTTGTTAGTCAGTAGATATCAGAAAACTATATTATTGTCTAGATTACGCGATACGTGCTCTCTGTACTATATCTATTCCTTCTTTCTTTGTACAATCAGAAAATACAGTAAAAGATTCTCTCCGCCTCTGAAGAGAAGCGTTGGGACTACATGTATTAAAAGTCCCATCCGAGAGAAGTTGTAAACACAAGCTAGCGTCACGTGAGATCACTCGACCAGTCCACCTCACTCATCTCTTAGGTAACAACAACATCAAAAGGCATACACCATCTCTACCTACCGACTCTCTCTTCCACTCATTCTCTTCACATCATATCACACCCACCAGCTCCCATCTCAACCCCCCCATCACACACAAAACACCAAATCTAGATCTAGATCCTCATCCAAAGCTTGAGTTGATTAAGCGCAGCCACCCATACCCGTCTATACCGTCAGCCTCCTCCCATCTCAACTGCATACAGATGACGGTCAAGGCAGCTTGCAGCTATCGCATTACATCTAGGTACTATACCGTCGTCATTCCAGATCTGATAATCTAGTCTCGAGGCCATGTAGTGGTGCAGCGACCCTTCCGCCAATATATATACATGTATGTACAGGATATAAACCCACATTCTCTCCTGACAATTGAGGCTACATATATAATCACTACAGTTTTGTATTTTGCTAATCTATTCTTGTGAGGACAGTTCGTGAGCAGATCACACTTCCGGACTACCATCATGAGCTAGGCTCTACAATTAGCCTTATGAGGGAGGTTAAGGCAAGGCGAAGCTTATTCCTTCTCTGTAGCTGTCTGTGGCTCTGCATAGAACACGGGAATTAGGAACGGCTAGGGACCTTTAAATCCTATTGTCACCCGGTGAATCTCATACGTTCTTCCCTTCCTTCTACCCTCCCTACATCTCCTTCTTACCTGCAACGTCGCCGACCTGGAGTCCACCCACATCTCCGAAGCCGAGGAGACTCCAATTCACCCATATGCATCCATATGCCCTCGTTGCCGGCCCGCTCCGGGGCCCCTGCTCTATATCGCCTAGAGTTATACGTACCTACAGTATATACCTTTTACGTATGTATATACAAACCCTCATTATCTGCAGTCCGAGTGATCCCAGTCTTCTTCCTTGCAACCAATATATATACCATACTCCAAAGCGCTATATACATCGAGCTAAGTCATGTCATAGGAAAGGGTGGTCCCGCAACTAAAATTACACCTGTCAGACCGTTTTTCCCTTCCCTTGTCCGGTCCAATCAATTCAATTGGATGGGGGGAGATGAGGCAACACGCGATGGTCGGTCGGCATGTGGGTGACATGAAAAAATACCATTGTCTTGTGCTAGTGGGACCAGTGCTATTATGTAGTAGTGTTTAGTTGGCACCATTCTTTCAGCCGCAAGGCCCCGTGCGTTCTTTGAGGTTAGAGTGGAGGACATTGCGAGGCAGTTTTAGCAGAGAAGCAGATTAATGCCTCTGTCTTAGCATGTCAAACCTACGACCTCTCCCTCACCCAAAACATCTGAAAATCAGATCCACCGGCTCCCTCCAGCCGAAGAAAAATCAAGACACCCTCCCCCCCCCCCCCCCCCCCCCCCATGACGAATCTAGAACAATACCAAAGCACCGAAGCAGCCCCCCCCCCCCCCCCCCCCCCCAAATCGAAACTCGTTCTTTCACACCTCCGATCGAACACTACCACAACCCATGTCCCTCGCTAGGTAGTGTTAGCTAGCTCTTCCACGTGTTTGGCCAACTAAACTAGAGTACATTGCTAGCTACCCGTTACTGCGGTGTATCTACTCGTATTTTCCTGACGTTTGTGGACGCGACTGATATTGCATGCCATACAAAAAATACGCCAAGCTCATGATTTTGGGTGTATGCAATAATGGCCCAGTTCAAAAACGTCAGGAAGATACTAGTAGTATCGATGTGGTCCATCCTCGGGGATATTTGGTGTTGTTTTCAGTTTCCTACCTGACAGAGAGCAAGATCTAAGCACACCACCATCTACAGAGTAGAAAGATACTTATGTCCCATCCTATCACAGCCAGTAGCTCTACGTCGCTACGTTTTTCTTCTTTCTGCCTTTTGAGCACTCCACCTTGCTTCATGCCATGCAGACCATTGCGGATTGATCTGATCTGCTGTTTCTGCTCCCTCACCCTCCGGCCCTGTTTGTTGAGAGCAGCGCAACCGGGGTTTTTTCGTGGCAAGATTGGCCAGAATACGAAAATGGGGGAGGCGGGGGGGGCGATGTTAATTGGATCGAAAGACACAGAGTGGGAAAGTGCACGTGTCAGAAAAAACTCGAGGAGGGAGGAGGGATAGCACCGGTAGAGAGTGAAGGAGAGTATCGTATAGTAGGTTGAATATAGTAGAGTTGAGCAAGCAATCCCTTCCTTCACGACCACAGGCCTGTCCTGTCTGTAGATACAACGAGGGGGAGGATCGAGATTGAGTATCATCTAGCACCAGGTTACGTTCCATCCAACCTACGCCCCACCCTCACGAGATCTTTTTTGCGGGGAAGCCGAAATTAAGGGCCTAGTCACAAGTGCACTTTTGTTTTGTTTTCCCCGGTCCCGACTTCCCCTAACCCTCCCGAATCGAATCGAATCGATCCGCGGGCCGTTCCCAGGTTTCCTCTGTATGGATGTAGGGACCATTTGATTCTCCCATGATCCAGAATTGTTTTTATTCTCTCTCTTTCTTCTTTTCCTTTTGGGCTATCGAGACAGCAACAATAAGGAAGAAGCTATGTATGAGTACATGTGTAGATAAGGTAGGTAGGTAGGTAGGTAGATGGAGCTTTCAGCTTGCTCTTGCTAACGCTGGATGAGAGCAAAAAAAAAGAAAGGAAAAAAGAAGCTATAGTCAACAATAACAACAAACTCCAAGATAACAAAAACGGACGATGAATGATGATGATGATGATGCGTTTCATACAGATTCGTTAATATCACAAACAAAAAAAAAAAAATGGGAACACAATACGGAAAAAAAGGGCGCTCAAAAACAGAGGAAACTGTTGGTGGCAGGGAAAAATGAGAAAGGAAAAAGAATCCACCGGCCCAAAATGAAGAGGCTTAAGAAGAAAAAGATGTGAAAGAGACAGATAGATACATAACAGAAATGCAAGGGGCCATAAAAAATCAAAAAACAAAAAAAGTCAAATGTCAATGTGTCCCCTCAGATCCCCCTTCTCTCCCCCCCCCCCCCCTTTCCCCAATTCAAGAGCACGAACGAAATGGAAAAAAAAAAAAACTGAAAGAAAAAAAACTAACATAACATTGAGAGGCGTCCGTTCGTTTTTCCCTTTAAATATGTGTCCCTTTTTTCTCCCTCTTTTTCTTCTTTTCTTCCGTTTCCTTTACGTGTCCCCCACTCCCCACCAGAAATTAAGAGATGAAAATTAGCTAGCTAGGTCCTTTGTTTCGATTTTTCGATATCTGAAGGTTTTTGGCGATATGTATATAGGGGTGAGGTGGGGAGAGAGAGGGGGGTATTGAGTCTGTCGTTGAAGATATGAATAATAAAAGCTTTTCCCAGCCAACGGGTAGTGGTGATAGAAGGGAATCTGTCTGAAGGTCCAATGGCCCATTGGACTCCGACCACGGGGTCCTTAAAAGCCGCCAGCACGCCGGATTGGACGTGCTATACAATGCTCTTCCCTCTGATCTACCTTGATTGTCTGTGGCTGGCCCGCATCCTCCATATAAACATCATCTCCAAGGCCCTCATCGTCGTCCTGCTCAATCTTTGCTACTGGTTCCGGCTTCGGTTCCGCTGCCTTTGCAATCTCGGCCTTGATCCTGTCAACCGCATCCTGCATCCGTCCCGCAATGAAATTGACGTGACCCGAGCACGCCTCACCCTTCAACCACAGGAAAGCCGCGTTCTCGCACCCCTTTGCTGCCTTATCCAGGCACGAATCGATGTACTCCAGCACCTCGGCTGCCTTCTTTTCCCGCTCCAGCCGTATCCGCTCCTCCTCGGCCTTCCGCTTCTCCTCCTCCAGTCTCGCTTGCTTCTCCTCCGGCGTCTCCTTGGGCTTCCCTTCTGACTCGCCATCCTCCTCCTCCGACTCGTCACTGTAGCCGTAGTCGGTTATAGGCAGCGACATCATCTTCTTCCGCCGTATACCCATCATCTCCTTCCTCAGTTGCCCGCGCTTCGCGTTGAGCGTCGTCCAGCAGTCAAACAGCGCCTTCTGCGCCTCGCCGTCATAGTATATCTGGGGACCGTTGATGGCCGAGAACTTTGCTTTTGGAGGGGTGGGCTTTGCGTTCATCTTAGACATCTGCTTCGGCGGTGGGGGGCATTCCTGCGGTACCTCGGTTTCCTTCCTCTGCTGCAGCCTCTCCTTTTCCTCGGCCGCGGCAGCCGCCGCGGCTGCGGCTGCGGGCGTTTGCTTTAGAGGATGTGGTCCGACGACGGTAGTGACGGCTTGTGACCCTTCTGCGGCGGGTGTCACCCTGGCACATGGTGGGATGGGTTCATCCTCGCATATTGAGAGTGATGGGGCGCGTTTCCGTGATGGTTGGGGAGTGACCGTCTCGGGATATCGTGCGGACAATACCTTTAGTCGTGCTGACCAGTCAGGGAGGGCGACCAAGAGCTCATTGAATACTGGGTTTTCCATTTGGGTTGTTGTGTGTATATAGGGAAGAAGAAAATTTGTGAGTGGTTGAGTTTTTTCCTTGCTGAGTCGAGTGCGTCTCTAAGAGACTATCAATTGGCGTTGGCTTATTGGTATAATTTCTCCTTCTTCTGTTGAGTGAGACGTTGGTGCTACAAAGGCTGTCACAAGAGGCGAGATGTCAGGACTAACATGGCTAATAATTGTGGGGAGAGAGAAGAAATAGGTCAAGAGGGATGGCGGTTGGGTGGGAGGGGGGTGGGATGATAGAGGTGCGTATTGCTCTCTCCTTCTCTCGGTGACCGAGAAAGCGGTGAATGGAAGGGACGGGAGGAAGAAATAGGGAATGGAGAGCGAGCGAGGGCGTCGCTGTAGCAACAACAGTCTACAGCGATAGAAATAAGAAAGGAAAAAGGAAAGGCAAAAAAAAAAAAAAAAAACTACATTTATGGAAGAGCCGAAGGGAGAGGGGGGGGTGTGGGCAGTCAAGGAAGGGGGCCGGGCGTGAATTCGGATCATTCCTCTTCCTTCACTCACAACCCCCCCCCCCCTCCCTCCCTTCAACATATAGGTACAGCAGGCAGGCATGCTACATGAGGTAGAATAAAATGCTGTGAGTGGCATCTTCGCGCGGTGAAGCAAGCAACTGCAACTGCAGGCAAGCAACCAACAGCTGGAGGTATAGTATGTGGAGTAGTATGCAGCAGACAAACGGGCAGGCCAGGCAAATAAAAAATCTCTCTTCTCTCGATCGCCCGGGGGGTAGGAGGGTAAACTTGCCTTCTTAGACAACTAGCACAGGGCCCTGTTGGTAGCTCCCTCTAGTGTATTCGCCGTTGGTGGTAGTAGTGTAGTAGAGTTGTAGTAGTAGTGGTAGTAGCGGTTGACTAGTTGTTGCTTGACTCGTCTGGTATTGGCGCAATTGCGACCGGACGTTTGTCGTCGAACTGGAGGTGAATTGTAGTAGTCGGTTCCAAAAAAGACCCAACACAAAGGGCAGTAAAGTTGAAACCCTTTCTTTCTCCTCTGCTGCTTCTTGCCTGCCCTGTCTGCCGCGCGCGACAACAACAAAAACAACAACAACACAGTGTATATATAATAAAAAAAATTTAAAGGAATTTTTTTTTTATTCCTTCGCAACGAAATAAAAAAAAATCCCAAAAAAACACCGGTTAAAAAAATATCGGGGGGGGGTGGTCGTTGGTTAACTTTTCTTTCTTCTTTTCTTTTCCTTTTCGTACCGGTTCGTGGTGCTCGTGAAGAGGAGGATGGATTGAGAAGGGGGGGGAGAGAAAAGAGAGGAAGGGAGGGAGGGAGGGCGGGAGGGCGGAAGCGTGTATATGTGGTGTCTGGTGGTAGTGGTGGTAGTGGGCGGGTAAGAAGGGAAGCAAGAGTGGAGAGAGAAAGAGGCGTTTAGAAGGGGAGATGGGGAGGGGAGGGGGTGAAGAGGCAGGCAGGTAGGGCAAAGGGAAAGATGAGCTCGCAGAAGCAGCAGCTCAGGAACCACGAACTGACTGAAATCGAAAAATAGACGGGGGGGGAGAGCGAGGGCAGGCAAGCAGGCAAGCGAGCGAACGACGCCTCCAGTCAAAAGAGTTAAGCTAACTACCTAGCAAGCACACACTAACTAACGGGCCGTGAAGGGAAGGGAAGGAAAGCAGCAAGGGAGTGAGGGGGTGTGAGTTAGGTACTGTAGAGTACGGTACTCTACTCTACTCTAGGTACCTTGTAGAGTGCGTTAGTGAAGTTAGTGTGAGAGGAGGTACATGTATGAAGCAGGTAGGTCTTCCTCACATCCCTCCGACTCCGTCCTTTCGTAACTTAACTTTGTGCCTGCTTGTCTGTAAGGTAAGATGATACTCTGCTCACTTGGTACATACGGTCCTGTAAGTAACATAACACATACACATTACACCTACATACACATAAACCTACCCCCTTCGTCCATATGCAGCAGTACCCGCGTCTAATCTGCCACAATCATGCCTCGAAATACCTAGACGGGTCTCTCCACCCCTTCACCATCTCTCCACCCCCCTTCCTCAATAAATATCGAAATCGAGAAAGTTAGAGGGAAAAACAGTTCTGGATTTTTCAATTAGTTCCCGCTCCCGCCCTAGAGTAACGAACTAAACTATTCGTCACCCCCCCCCCCCCCCCCCCTCGCTCCTGCTCTTCCCTAGCTCGCTCGCTCGGTCGGCTCGGCTCGGCTCCTCCACCGCGCTTAACCCTCACTCCCTCCTCTCAAAGCCCTAACCGCTTGTACGTCCACCAGTGGGGCCGGGCCAGTGTCACCACAACCACAACCACTCCCACTCCCACCACAATCCACCGCCCGCCGAGGCTGTTTTTGCCCGCTCTTCTCTCACACCACATGTCGAAACAAAACGGGCGTTTTGCTGCCCTTTTCTGTTTCCTTTTCACACTTTGATCTCTCAGAAAAAAAGGATCAACTACATGTATGTGTGTATGCGTGCTCATCTCTTTGCAAACACACCACCGCCGCCGCAGCTTACGGTATGATTGGTGATCCCCCCTGCCTGCTCTACCCTAACCCCACGTAGTACTCTAGCGGCGAATCTTTAATTCGCCTACCGACGCAATATGCACCGCTAGAAGCTAGAAGCGTATGTAGTAGACCCCGAGCACGAGCAGAGCAGAGGTTTTTTTTTCTTTGCGCAATTGCAATTGAAGCCCCAATTGCACTCCTCTATGTACTCGGGGTATAAGGTACTGTACTGCAAATACCATAAAATAAAAAAAACGGAAAACTCCCAGAATGCCACGCCAAAAGGCAGGCCGGGGTCCCAAATGCCACACTGAGAATAATATGCCATGTAAATAGTTTCAACTGGGTTAGAGTAAAAGAAGTAGTGAAAGAAAAAAAAATTCTTTCTTTCCTGTTTGCATTCGCTATCATATTTCCGAGATATTTTTCAATCGAGAGCAGGTAGTTCAAGAATACCCAAATATTTGACGGGAGCTTAAACTAACTGAGAGTCCATCTCTACAGCGACGGCACCTTGGGATGGCAGAGCCTATCTCCATTGCTACCGCATTGCTGTAATCCGGGGTTGGGTTGTAGTATGAAACCCAAATTTATTAACAGGTAGGTACAGGAATGGTTGCGTGGCATATAATTCTCAGTGTGGCATTCGGGACCCCGGCCTGCCTTTTGGCGTGGCATTCTGGGAGTTTTCCGTAAAAAAAAAGAGAGCTCGACCATGGCCACTGTAAATCCCGCTACCTGCGATTCTAAAATTCATTACCAGGGAGACACACACGCATCCCCCTCCCTCCCTCTTCTCGCCCCTCATCCATCCCTTTTAGATGATGAGGATGATGATGTTGTGTGAAGATCCACCAGCTCACTCTTAAACCTCCCATCCATATATCCCCTGTAAAGCAAAACCAACCACAATCTACCATACAAGAAATCGGGCAGATACGTACCTACTTTACCTCTCTACACAACAAAAAAAAAACTCCGACAAGCACAAAAACGGCCCCAACCTCAACCCCAACCTCGACCCCAACCCCTCGGCAGCGGCAAGGTAGTAGCGATCAGCCCTAAAATCAACTTCCTCCAGAGGTAGAGAGGTACATGCTGCTAACTTCTGTTAGGCATAATCAGAGTTTTCTTTCCTTTCTTTGGCTTTCCCCACCCCCTCCTTGTGAGCTGGCGAAAAAGAAAAACGAGTTCTTTTTTTATTTTTATTTTTTGAGGGAACGGGCTTCCTCAATATGAACTATGGAGCCTCTACATACTCTACTCTATCTCAGTCTGGCGACAATACCCTAATACCTATAGGGTCTCGGAGGAGAGCGAAATCTTAAAGGAATATGTGTTGCGCGATACTGTCTTTCCAGTGCACCTTGGCACTAGAATCCATGATATGACTATCTGGTCTGTCCACCCACACCCACACCCACCCCAACCCCCCGACCCGGGCGGGCCTCGTGGTTCGTGGGTTTCTTCATGTCTCCTGGCGGGTCTTCAATGTTTCATGAACAACCGCAGCACAGCAGCAGGAGCAGAGGACAGGACACTGGTTGAGCCGTGCCGCGGCCGCGGACGTTGGAGTGTTATGCTGCGAGATTGAGATTGGGTTTCGGCCGCTAGAGTAGCTACTCACATGCGCATTTCCCTTCCCTCCTCTCCTTACGTCCTTATTTTAAGAGGTATTACAGAGAAAGAAGGAAAATATATTCAAAAAAAGCAAATGACCTTCCGGTGGCACACCCGCAACGGGAACCGCTAGTAATAGAGAAACAGCCATTATACATATGCTATGCTACATATGCTACCTGTAATCAACTTTGCAAGCTGCAAATGTGTGGTGGTGGTTTCTGAGGCAGCGCAGCATGCATGTATCCGCTTCACATCCCACCACCCCGGCCGCAAAGCGAAACCGATCTCTCGAGATGTATCATTTCCATCCATTCCTTTTCACTCATTCGTCCTCGCCGACTACAATAAATCCCCAATTAATATAAATAATTAATCAACGCCCCAAACCGGCCCCCGCCACTATGTAACGCGTGTCTCTCATCCGTCCCCCCCCCCCCCCCCCTTCTCTCTATCTGAAAAAATCCTCAGCAGCTTCTATCGCGGCTAGGCGCGGGTCCGTGTGGGCAAGTCTCCAAGAGTTAGGGCTGCGGGCCGAATTTGACATGAGCCGTTCGGGACGAAACGAAACCGCGTTGCCGATCATCTGTGGCCCTGCTAGACTACACTAGCTAGCTAGGCTGGATGTGGTGTAGGAGAGTCTGGCCCCCACGAAGCTGGTGGTGAAACATCGAGAGGTTTCTTGCTGTCAGTTCTAGGTATCTACATGTAGCTGTCACGGGGAGAGCGAAGGAGTGACTGACTTGACTACCTTGCCAATTGCCTTAATACCTGATACCAAGAGTCTCTAGGTAGGTAGCTCACATATACAATACATTATGGGGTGGGCCTCATAATGATAATATTATTGACGAGGGGGGCCCAGAGTATTCAC